GTCGTTTCTGAATCTCGGAGGAAGGGCATTAAAGAATTCCTTCACAAATTTCTGGACCAGTTAATGCTCTTGTAACTGCAGCTTGTTGACTTAGTAGGAAGTACTTGTAGGATCCATACATGTGGCATGGAAGAAGTTGGCGTTTATCCTATAGAGATACATGTCATAAATTATATAAATGTCTCACACTATGCTGTACACCTGAAACTAATATAAACTAATATTAAATATCAACTATAATTGGGGGGGAAAAACTCTGAAAAAAAGCCACATGTCAACAGTATTTAAAAGACCACTTTAGTTTTTAATACTTAATATAAAGTCATATTAAACTGTTAAAACTTAAAACATGTGTGAATGATACACGTGCAATGTTAAAATTATTGCACTAGAATATAAAAGCATTGCAACATTATTGCTGAGGGGTGTGTATGTGATAACAGGTACATAACAAAAGGTGTATCACTTAAACCATTTCTTAAGGATGCGGTTCATTTCAGTGGTGTTAAGAACATTCACACTCTTGTGCAACCAGCACTGTTTTTGTTTTTTGTCTTTCATCTTTCTTTTTGGTGGGGAAGAGAGCAATAGTTTGACATGGCTAAAAAGTGCAGGATGGTGACAGTCTGGCAAGGTGCAGCAGGGGCCTTCCCCTACCTGTCCCCAGGGGTGAACGTTCCCATCTTGAGATAGGGGGCAGCTCTTGGCTTCACTCTGCTTCCTCAGCCAGGTCTCCTCACAGAGCGGGGCTCTACTAGTCTCAGGGGCCACCTGGTGTCAGAGCCAAGGGCATGGGGCCATTGGACCCCACGCTGCTGGGAGGGACACTGACCCCCCTCACTCTGTGAGCCACCCTAATGGCTGACCCTGGCTTGGACACAGGGCTGGAGAAAAGCAGCTTCTGCCAGAGAACCAAGCTAAACTTTGGGCACCAGGGCTCCCAGCTCCATCTGCGGGCCAGGCCCTGCCAGCTGGTCCCCTGGCCTCCTGCCTCGGGGCTTGTCCCGTCCTGCCACCACTGGAGCCCCACTGGAGGAGCCCTTTCACACCTGCCCAGGGGCCTGGTGAGACAGTGAAGGGTGGGTCTGTGTGAATCTGGAGCTGTCTGCCAGAAAAACCACCCAGTCCACATTCCGCCCATGTGGGTAAGGCAATTAGCTCTGTTGTGGAAAGGACACGTGCTGTGAGGTTTGGTGGCAGGATTTAACTGCGTGCTCTTAGAATTATGGTTGGGCTGGGGAGGGGTGCGGCTCTCAGCAGAGGAGGGTAAAAGGGGCAGGGAAGGAGTCCAGGGCTGATCAAAGGTGAACCTGTTAGCTCTCTGGCCTGGTGCCGGGGAAGCTGGCGCCAGGCCTCTGGGATTGTAGCCAAAAAGAAGTTAGAGGTTGGCAGCTGAACCCCACCAAGAGCTGGGTGAGGACGAGGTGTGGTCTCTGGACAAGCCAGGGAGTGGAGTTAATTGGCCTTGACAGGTGCCAGCAGTTAAATGGCCCATCTCACCTGCCTTTTGCTTTTCTTACCAACCTTGGCTCCGCCCAGAGGCTCCCCTTCCTCCTCTGCCTGTTTCAGCCCCTCCTTTTCGCCCAAGGCTGCTCTGAACTCCGCTCACATCAACTCGCCGGCCTGTGAGCCGCCTGGGAGTCGGAGCTGAGCCGCAAGCCAGACTTGCCCTTTGAGTTCACCCCCATAGTGACCTCTCCTCAGGATTTTTTTGGGCCTAACCAACTACTTTGGTACTATGTAAGGCAACTAACTAGAGTAATGGGATCTTAAACAAACAAAACAAAAGAACAACTGAGTGTGGCCTCTCTGTGTCTCCTTGCACGCTTATATCCATTTCACTGTTTGTATTTAGGTAGTGCTGAATTCAGGACATGTGTGCAAAAGTCTTACTTATAAAATTTGGCCCTAACATCACTCTCTATCAATTCACCTGAAGGGAGAATTTGCATCTAAGGGAGGAAGGAGTCACCAAAGACAGGGTCCTACACATGTTTGGAGACATTGAGGGAACTTCCAGCCAAATAAGGGCTCTAGCATCTTAGCCCCAGAGAAGTCAAGGTAGATCCCTGGAATCTGCTTTTCAAACTAGCATCCCAGGAAAATCCGATATAGGAGGTGCCAATCACCCCTGAGAAGCATGAGGGCCTCTCTGAGAGATGTGGCTGGAAGGTGATGGATATAGCTGAGGAAGAAAGGGGGTGTCCCTCCAACGTTGTGGGTGGGAATATAAATTGGTCCCACAGAAAACAGCTCAATGGTTCTTCAAATTTGTATTTTTAAAATAATTAATCAGTACCTTTATTCCATAGCTAAAACTCTAGGTTTACTACTTGTGATTTTTATTTTATTTTTTAAAATTTATTTTTTATTGAATTTATTGGGGTGACATTGGTTAATAAAATTATATAGGTTTCAGGCATACAATTCTAGAATACATCATCTGTATATTGTATTGTAGTTCCTCCAAAATTTAAATGTAGAAATTACCATATGACCCAGCAATTTCAATCCTAGGTATATACCCAAAGAAATTGAAAACAGATACTCAAAGAAATGTGCACATAGACATTTTGTAGGAGCACTATTCACAATAGCCAAAAGGTGGAAACAACCTGAATGCCCATTGCTGGATAAAGAGATAAACAAAATATGGCCCTATGCCCTAACCGGTTTGGCTCAGTGGATAGAGCATCGGCCTGTAACTGAAAGGTCCCAGGTTCGATTCCCGTCAAGGGCATGTACCTTGGTTGCAGGCACATCCCCAGTAGGGGGTGTGCAGGAGGCAGCTGATTGATGTTTCTCTGTTATCGATGTTTCTAGCTCTCTGTCCCTCTCCTTTCCTCTCTGTAAAAAAATCAATAAAATATATCTTAAAAAAAAAAATATGGCCCTAACCGGTTTGGCTCAGTGGATAGAGCGTTGGCCTGTGGACTCAAGGATCTCAGGTTCGATTCCGGTCAAGGGCATGTACCTTGGTTGCGGGCACATCCCCAGTAGGGAGTGTGCAGGAGGCAGCTGATCAATGTTTCTCTCTCATCAATGTTTCTAACTCTCTATCCCTCTCCCTTTCTCTCTGTAAAAAAATCAATAAAATATATTTAAAACAAACAAACAAATGATATATCCATACCATGGAATATCATTCAGCCATAAAAAGGAATGCAGTACTGATACAATCTACAGTGTGGATGAACCTTGAAACACTACGCTGAGTGAAAGAAGCCAGACATATTATGAAATACCCAAAATAGGTGTATCTATAGAGATAGAAGCAGATTGGTGGTTGCCAGGGCCTGGAGGGAGGAGGGATGAGCGTAACTGTTGATGGCTATGAGTTTTCTTTTTAGGGCGATGACAGTGTTTTTAGTGGTTGCACAACAGTGTGAATGCACTAAATGCCACTGAATTGTCCACTTTAGAATTATGTGAGCTGTGGCCAGGTAGCTCTGCTGGTTTCAGTGTTGTCCTGATATGCCAGCATTGCAGGTTCAATCCTCCATCAGGGCACATGCAGGAATCAACCAACGAATGAATAAATAAATGCAACAACAAATAGATACTTCTCTCTCTCTAATTAATAAATTAAAAAAATATGTGAATTTCACGCATAGAAAATAAAAAGATAAAGAAATGGGGTGGCAGGGCTGCCAAGGACCAAGGAGTCAGCAGGGTTATCCACCACTACCTGGGAAACAGGCCCTCTGGGGGACAGTGAAGTCTGTCCTGCTCCCTGCCCCTCTGGGATGCCCCTCCAGACTCTCCAGTGCCCTTTGCTCTGACTTCACACTCACCAGCAACCTTCTGATTGTTACTGTGGTCTCTTAGGTAGGTGCCTAGCGCTGAGACAAAGTGTCAGAGATGCTGGAAACGGCTCTCAGTCGGCAAGGTTGACTCCTTTGGCTCTGTGGGCTCTGCATCCATGTTTAATGAGCCTGCTGCCTGCGACAGAGAGAGTAACTCTTAGTCCTGCTGTGGGACCTGTTTCTTTGGTTAGCAAACATTTGGTAAGCGCCAAGCACTGGCTTTAGGCTCTGGAAACTCAGCAGGGACCTTGATGGATAGTGTCCCTCAGGCTTACATTCCAGTGTTCAAATAACACACGTGAGGAACTCAACACAGTGATGGGTAAAAAGTGCCCATAAACGGCAGCTGATACCATTATTCCTATGAGTAGGAAGAAGTTTTTGTGATAATTTCTGACAGTTCATTCTTCCTCTTCCCCATCACTCTCGCTACCTGTGGCCTCCTACCAAGATCTGCCAGCTGTACTTGCTCCCACCACGCTTCCCTCGTCCACCCATTTCTCCGATATTCCATAGCAGTGAGACCCACCCGGCAATCCTGCTCCAACTATTTTTCATGACCTTGTGCTTCACCGTGAATTGAAACACAGTAACGAATGCTTCTAAACACAACACATTCTTCATGGAAAATGTGTGCTTTGATGGAATTGGAGGTCTTGGTTCTTGGACAGATGGTGACCTGATCTAGGGCACCCATGCTCTGCTCTTCAAACCACACAGAACACCCATCGAGAATCTGCCCTAGACTGTGGGCAGGAATCACAACTCCACCCTTTTCTCTTGCTTCTGACCCTCCCCAGCCTACCTTCCCACTTTGCAAGTTGTAGACCATTTGTTAGTTGGTTTAGTTTAAACATCCGCAGTGTAGACGGGAGGGACGTGGGGAAAGCGGCAGGAGGGGCTCCTGGAGTCCGTGATGGTCGGCTTCCTGGCCTGGGCGTTGGTCACACAGCCGTGGTCATTTGTGAAGGTCAGCCTGCATGCTCATGACCTGGGCATTTTCTAGATGGATAATCTACTCCAGGCAAACATTAAAACGAAAAATAGAGCAAATGTGCTGAGATACTTGTACGAAGATGCTTTTTTCAACGCCCTTTATATTAAAAACTGGAAATAGCCTGCACACGTACGAGTAGAGGACTGGTAAAATAACTTTCAGTGGATCTATAAAATAGACTATACAGCCATTAGAAGTATTGATAAAAGGTATGTTTATTCACTTGGCGGTGTTAAGTAAACAATATAATATAAAATAAGTTAGAAAAGAAAGTATATTCCAAAATATTAAAAATGATCATCTCTGGGCAGAATATTGGTATTAATAAAGTTAACGAATCTGAGGAGCTTGTTAGATACAATTCCTGAGCCCCCACACTCAGAGATTCTCATTCAGTCTTCCCCCCAAGCCCCAGAGCACACACCTACCCAGGCTAATTGTTATGCGCAGCCTGGCTCCTATCAGTGTGGGGCTCCTGGGAACCTTTTATGAATCTGATATAAGCCATGCATCCTCTCCCCTGGAAAATGAATGGGCACACCAAATCTTGGATATAATTTGGAGAGATGGTCCATGACTCCAGGTAAGAATCCCTAATGTGGAATGAGAAGTCAACCTCCTCCTTTTTTTCTTGTTCTTTTCTTTCCTCAGAAGGCCTCTTGCTCCCAGCACCCTAAAGGCTAAGGGCCTCTGCCAGGCAGCATAGGCCAGGGCCATTGCCATGATCAGAGCACATCTTTTGTGTGTTCTGTCGTGGTTGCTGGTGCCATCCAGAGGGGATGCACTGGAGGGTGCGCAGTGGTGGGTGGGCGGCGGGTGGCCGCGGTGGTGCCAACGCCTGCTTTGAGAACTTGCCTGTGCTGCCCACCCCGCTGGGTCCTCTGCAGGAGGGCAAGCTGCCTTGATGGCCTCACAAGTCTCACGAAGCTGTCTCCAAACTTTGATGCTCGCTCTCCTTTACAAAGGTCCCTTCATTTATCCACCCACCATTTCATCTCTGCTGATCTGGGTCCTTACAATGAGATGGGACTATTTCATACAGTATAAATGGAAGTAGGGTCAAAGCCGTGGCTTTATGTGGTATAGGGTGTGCTCCATGATACTTTATGATCATAAACTTTGGGACCCTAAGAACGTTTTATTAATAGATCTTACGATTTCCTCTCTTTGTGTGTACCTCAAAAGTCATGGACGGCTCGTCTTGGGCAGTGGACGGTGCTAAGGCTTTTAAGAGAAAAGAGAAGAGGCGGGCGGCCCAGAAGTCAGACCCCTTTGGGAGAGGAGCTGGAGGCCCAACAGCAATGGCCTCGGCCACCAGGTGGCATCACTGGCCACTCTGGGTGCAGCTTCTCCCGGGAAGTCAAAATCCTTGGAGCCCAGATCTGACTCCTCCACAGAAGGGCCAATCCTTTCCCCGAGGGCTCTGCCCTGAACCTTTGGGTCCAGCATCTGTAGGAGTCACCACAGCATCTCCCTAACACCCGCATTTGTCCCCATTTTGGCCTAGAGGAGGAATGCCAGGCAGGGTGAGCCAGGGAAAGATGACACAGGGCAGGATAGTTTTCTTAGCCCTGGCATAATAAAAAGAAAGCCCAAACATTTTTCTTTTTTTTAATATCTAAGATTTAAAAAAATTAAAAATCCCAAAACCAGCAACCAAAACAATCCATCTGAATGTCGGCAACAAGCCTGGTCTCAGGTTCCCTTTCCGGGGTGTTCTGAAGCAGCAGCACCTGCTGGGCAGCTCTGGGAACCCGGGGCCTGGGGACAACCCAGTAGTGGCCGGAATCCACCCTGGCCTTGACCCAGCAGAGCTGAGATGACGGGGGACGACGTTTCAGAAAGGCCACCAGGACTGTCTTTAAACACGTGGTTGCTCTGGGAGGAACTTTTCCTTCGAGTCCAGGCTGAGGGTTATTTCTTGTGGAGAAACTTCATTTTATTGCCTAAAAAAAGAAAATGGGAGCATTTCACCAGGAGAGAAAGGAGGTTGAGTTAAATCTTCCCCTTTCTTCGCAGCTGCAGTGTGGCCAACCGTGCCTCCCACGCCAGCCAGGAGGGAGCCTCACTCTATGCCTCACAGCCTCTGCACCTCCCCAAGGAAAAGGGATCTTCCTCGGACTCAAGGAAGAGCTGCAGACACTGCTTCTGAAACGGTAAGCTGGAATCTCTGAACGTAACAGGTCCCCGAGGAGCCAAGAGAGAAAACTCCCAGCGGTGCGGTGAGTGGGACGTCCCACCCCGAGTGGCCATCTGTCCGCCCTGTGAGGGACAAGCAGGCCCCGCCACAGGTGCCCGTGTGGTCCCCACCGCACAGCTCCTCCTCACTGGGGCCTGCGCCCTGTTCCTCTTTTGTGGCTATCGGGACGACGCGCTAACCAACTGAGCCACCCAGCCAGGGCCCCCTTCCTCTTTGGTGATTTCCTCTTCATCCTTTTCCCAGCAGGGCCTTGTTCCTGAGTGAGCCAGAGTCCTCTCACTTTTACATTTCCACTTCGCAGGGCACTGGGAGGCTGGGCCAGCTCTGTGCTGCCTGATACCCTGCCTGCTTCCGCTCACCCTGCTTCCTAAGCTCAGTGCCCAGAAGACTCAGGAGTGAGGGAGATGACAGTGACCGAAGGTAGTGAGACAGCCCAGGAGCCGGGAGAGCGGGGAGGGGCCTCTGTGTCCTCTGTTTATACTTTGGGGTCAGACTGGAACAGGGGGCTACAATGCCGACTTAGCCTGCCCAGCACAGGCCAGAGAGCTCTGTGCTATTTCGGAGCCGGCTCCAGTGGAGGAGCTGGCCAGGAGCCACGGACCAGAGGCTGGTGGTGGGGACCGAGACCCTTGGCCTTACCTAGTCCCTTCAGGAACTTGTTGACACCACTGTGCTCTCCACTGGGGAGTGTCTCCAGGTACTCTTGGGCTCGGACCTCAAACAGACCTGTTGACAAGAGATATCCCAGTCAGTACAGTTCCCTCTCTGGGCACTTCTAACCATACCTGTTTCCTGACTGCCACAGAGAAGAGGAACTTGCTTCTGAGATGAGCTGCTCCTATAAACATGCTCTGAATCATAGGTTTATAAGAGTTTTTATGACCCCTATAAATTGCCCAACTTTGTGCAATAACTGGAAATAACTTTGGAAAGCGGTAAAGCCAGCTCCCACACGAAATCCTATTTTTACTCAACAAACACCTTCTAAGTGTCTCCACTGTGCCAGGCACGCGGTTTCAAGATGAACCAGATGGTCTTGGCTCCCAGGAACTCCTGGAGTTTCCCTTTTCCTCGTGTTCTCCCATAAAGAGGGTCCCTGGCCACGTGGTGTGGCTTCCTGGGAATGAACCTGTTTGCCACCTGTGACCTCAGGAAGGCTGGGCAGGCCGCCTCTCAGGGCCCTCAGTGCTCAGCCCGGGTCTGAGCCTCAGGTACTGTCTTGATTTCTCTCTGGTCCTCGTGGACCGTGGGCTCCTTCCGTACTGCTTTTAAGCTTTGATGTCTGGACCTCTCTATCAAATAGTGGTCTGTAAACAGGTACCTACCAGTATGTGTACCCAGCAGGCCTTCTCTTTAACAGGTCCCTTCATCAGATCAACTTTGTGTCTCTTCAGATACCACTCATCAGAACTGCCAGAAGCGTGGCAGCCTCTGTCTTTACTTTGCAAGGAGCTCTGGGAATGGTTTCGTTCCTTCACTCAGTCTGTGCCATCACAGCACCAGAGGACACCGAGGCCTGGGCCAGCAGCTCCCCCGGGACCCTCCCTGGCCGCTGCTCGGCCACTCCTCGGTGGTGAGCACCTCGCCCCTACTCAGGTCTAACTCCCATCTGTGACAGCCTTTCCCAACATTTCCAGCTGTCAGATCCCCAAAAGGGCTTAAGATGACATAAGAAAGAGACAGGAATCCCAGTCACTGGTTATCCTCTTTTCTCACACCTCCCCCTCCCCTTCCCCATCCCCCTCCGCCAGCCCAGGAAGTGTGATGGAACCCAGCTGACAGGGACAAGGAGAAGGTAGGAGAGATGAACTCCAGGAAGAGAGAGAGTGAGGGAGGAGAATGGATGACCCACAAGCTCCCAGCCAGGCAGGCTCAGCGGAGGGTGTGGGCCATTCTCTCCTCTATCCCATCCCAGGTGGCTCCTGCCTGCTCCACGGTGGAGAGGGGCAGGAAAGGGGGGGCAGAAGGGACGAGAGGAGGCTGTGGGAAAGAACAAAGGAACCACAGAGAGAGAGGAAGGAAGGGTGTCCATGAGAGTTTCCTCGAGTTGGAAAGAATGGAACAAATGGAGAACTGTCACCAGAACCCGGAAAGTGCTCTGGGACAGGCTGGTGGGGGGAAGAGCTGTCCGAGGAGACAGGCGTCAGGGGAGTTTCAGAAGCTCAGACATGCAAAAGTGGACATTCTCCAGAGGTGGCCGAGAGCTGCTCCCGTCTGTGCCCGGGCACCTCCATCTGTCTCAGGGAAGATGCAGGGAAGATGCCCTCTGACCTTTGGCATCCTGTCGACGCAGCTCTCGCTCCTGGATGAAGCCCCGGAACATCTGGGTCTCCATGAAAACCTCCAGGAAGCGGCGCAGGCTCTTGGAGGAGACGGCTTTGCGGAAGGCCTCTCGCTGCAGGGTCCTCTCCTCACGGTCGCCCACCGTCAGGAACAAGGAGTAATGGCCCACGATCTCCACGAAGAAGCGGACAAAGGCTTCAGACACCACCTGGTTCAAGGGGCTGGACTCAGGGCCTGGGCAAGAGGAAGGGCCAGCGGGTGAGGGTCAGAGCCTCTGAGACAAGCCAACTGGTAATACAAGCACTTCGAGCTCTCTCGAGGAAAAAGCCTACTGATCCATAAAAAGGTGACCCAAAGGTATTAAATTATTTCTTTCCCTCCCTTTTATTATTCTTATTTTCCTTATTTTTTTTGTTGTTAATCCTCACCAGAGCATATATTTTCCGTAGATTTATTTTTTTAGGTAGAGTGAACACACACACACACACACACACACACACACACACACACACACACACATATATATATATGAGAGAGAGAGAGAGAGAGAGAGAAACATCGATGTGATTGATTGCCTCCCACACGCACCCTGACAGGGGCCAGGGATTAAACCTGCAACCCAGGTACATACTCTTGGTCAGGGCTCTTTTGCTCCTTTAAACAGATATTTTAGGGCCAAATGGGGGAAGTGAGAGAACTTTTCCCAGTTCATTGTTAAAATGAGATCCAGATGAGAAGGTTGAGCACCCAGTTTTTCTCCTTGCATCCCTCTCTTGCCTATTTTCTTACTTAACTCAATGTCAAGTGGAGTGCTTGGCCATTGTCCATTTGCTCCCTGACTAACGATGGAGGGAGATGCAGTCTGGAGGGGCTGAGCACTTACCGTGCTTGCAGTCGGGGGGCCCTTCATCCTGGTCACTGGCCAGGTCATTTCTCTGCTCCAGAATGTGTTCCAGGGCCACCTGAAGCTTCCGTGGCAGGATGGAATCCTCGTCGTCCATCTGTAAGGCAGAAAGGACAGGTGGGCCATCGCCCTGCTTCTGGAGGTGATGCCGTGCCCGGCCAGCAGGACACATGGGTGCACTGCCCGGCAGGCCTGCACAGCTCAGTCTAGTGCAGCGGTTCTCAACCTGTGGGTCGCGACCCCTTTGGCGGTCGAACGACCCTTTCACAGGGGTCGCCTAAGACCATCCTGCATATCAGATATTTACATTACGATTCATAACAGTAGCAACATTACAGTTATGAAGTAGCAACGAAAATAATTTTATGGTTGGGTCACAGTATGAGGAACTGTATTTAAAGAGCCAGTAGGTTGAGAACCACTGGTCTAGTGGAAGGAACAACAGGGGTCTGAGGTTTGAATCTTGATTCCACTTCTTACAAGCTGTGTGAGCCTCAGTTTCCCCATTTGTCAATATCTACCTCATTGTGAAGATTAAGTGCAATGGGCAAGACATTGATGAAGGAAACTGAAGATACAAGTAAATGAAAAGATATCCTGTGTTCATGGATTGGAAGAATTAATGTTAAAATGCCCATACTACCCAAAGTGAGCTACAGAGTCGATGTAATCCCTATCAAAGTGCCAATGGCATTTTTCACAGAAATAGAAAAAACAATTCTAAAATTTATAGGGAAATACAAGAGTCCAAATAGACTAAGCAATTTTGAGAAAGAATAACAAAGTTAGAGGCATCACAATTCCTGATTTCCAACTTTAACAAAGTAATCAAAACTGTACAGTACTGGTAAGCCAGTCAGAGAAGGACAAATATCACATGATCTCACTTATATGTGGAATCTAATGAACAAAATAACCTGATGAACAAAACAGGTCCAGAGACATGGAAGCATGGAACAGACTGTCAAATCTCAGTGGGAAAGGGGGTGGGTGGTGGCATGGGAAGAAATTAACCAAATAACTTATATGCATATATGCATAATCCATGGACACAAACAATAGTGTGGTAGGTATGGGTGTGTGTGAAGAGGGTCAATGGGCGGGGGGGGGGGGGGGGAGGGGAGTAAGGGGACATCTGTAATATTTTCAACAATAAAGATAAGTTAAAAAATAGAAATAAATAAAAAAACCCACAATATGGTACTGGCATAAAAAACAGACACATAAACCAGTGAAACAGAATCAATAGTCCAGAAATAAGTCCACACATATATGGTCAATTGATAGTTCACAAGGGAGCCAAGAATACTCACTGGAGAAAGCATAATCTCCTTTTAATATATTTTTTAAAAAATTGATTTGAGAGAGAGGGAGAGATGGAAACATCAGGAAATGAAATCACTATGCTGAAGAGGTAACTGCATCCATGTTCACTGCAGCATTATTCACAACAGCCAAGACGTGGAAACAACCTAAGCGTTCACCAATGGATGAACAGGTAAAGAAAACGTCACACATACACACAGAGATACACGTGTACACACACAAAGAGGAACATTATTTAGCCATAAAAAGAAGAAAATCCTACCTTTTGCAACAACATGGATGAAACTGGAGGGTATTATGCTAAGAGAAATAAATCAGATAGAGAAAGACAAATACTGTATGTTCTCACTGATATTTGGAATCTAAAAAACCCCAAAACTTATTAGAAAGAGAGTAGAATGGTGACTGCTAGATGCTGGGGTTGGGGGAAATGTTGGTCCAAGCTCTAAGATGAATAAGTTCTGGGGCACTAAGGTATAGCATGGTGACTAAGTTAACAATGTTGTATTACATACTTGAAAGTTATTGAGAGTAGATCTTAAATGTTAATCACTACACACACACACACAAAGGTAGTTATGTGAGGTGATGGCCGTGTTAACTAAACTTATTCTGGTAATCACTGTACAATATATATACATATCAAACCATCATGCTGTATACCTTACGCTTATGTATATGTCAATAATATTTTATAAAGCTTGGGAACAATATTAAATACAATACAATTACCTTGTGAAAAAGCTTGGAACCTAGTGGCTACACAAGAACTGTTTCCCACTGCCCTGCCCTGTAGGGTGGCTGGTGCTGATCAGGACATGTGGCCAGGGCAGATGACCAGTGGATCAAAGCTGGATTTACAGCCCTGGCTGGGAGCTCAGTTGGTTAGACCATCGTCCTGATGCCCCAAGGTTGCGGTTTTTATCCCCGGTCAGGGCACATACAAGAATTAACCAATGGATACATAAATAAGCGGAACAACAAATCAATGTCTCTCTCAAATAAAAACAAATATATAAACAAAAAGCTGGCTTTATTATCTGGGTCTCAGCGTAGGAGAGCCCCGGGGAAGGGCCTCCCTGAGGGCCTTCGGGAATAAAAGTGAGTGGAACTAAGGATAGAAAATGGCATTACCACAACAGACAGAACTTTCTAGGGTGGCAGCTCCAAGTTTAAAAGCAATGCAATAGAATACCCCTAAAGCCTTCCTGTAATGTTCTTTGTAGGAGAGCTGGTAGGAGTTAGACCTCTCTGGCAAATGATAAGTGAGAAAATAATTGTGCATTACTTTTTATAATAATGAAAGTAGTTTATAATCATTATAGAAAATACATGAAAGTTTGAAAACAATTTAAAGTCACTCATAATCTGTCTCCCTTTCATTCTCTCACAATCAGCATTAATGTTTTGGTGAGTTTTCCTTTCCAACTTGTTTAGAGGCATATATATATACATTCTCTTTCTCCTTTTTTAAAAAACACGCAAAAAATGTATATGATTTTGCATCCTAACTTTTCCCACTCAATATCATATCATAAACTTTGTTCTCAAATATTTTTTAAAAGCATGTTGAAAAAGACAAGAGTCTATAGGCAAACCTATGCAAAGATTCTAATTGTTAGAAAACCATTTTGTGACAGAAGACGCGGGGATCAATCCTTTGCTAAACGCCCCCTCTTTGGCCCCTGCCTTCTGGCTTCTCCTCTGTCCAGTTCTGGCTGGGGATTGGGAATGCCCAGGCCCACCCAGGAGCCTTCGCAGAGCTGGAAAGCTGAGCCCCAAACACCAGAGAGGTAAAAAGAGAGCAAGCAGCGGGTGGAAGCTGGCGTTCTCACTCACCTGTCTGAGGAACCGATTGTTGACAAGGTCGACTACAAGGACCTGCAAGATGAGGAAAAGGAACTATTATTGTCACCAGCGCTTCTGGGATATAGCGATGGGCTCTTAGCCTTTTTCTGTCTTGGCACCAAAGAGGCAGTGGGGGTGGGGTGGAGTGGGCCATTTGTGGTTTCCTGACATTGCCACTGTGGCCACAAGTGAGGAAGAAGGGAGGTGGGGAGCAAGGGCTTTTCTGAATCCCATGCTTTCAACACTGCAACCGCAGGCTGGAACATGTGTGTGCCATGGCTGGACTCCCTGCCCTGCTCCCGACTGGCTAAGGCAGAGCCTCTCAGGCTGCTTTCAGTGCATGGGTTACTGGGGTGGAGAGCAAATCCAGCTTCTGGGCTTTCCTTAGTCAGGCTTTCAGATAAAGCACCTTCCCTTCTGTCCCCAGAGCGGGCTGAGACCCACGGCCAGAACCAGGGTGACGCAGGTGCCGGGCCTTTGCTTGCAGGGCCCTGAGAGCGAGCGAGACCTTCACTCAGGCCTCAGCACATGAGGGAGGAAGAGTGGGGCCTGATGGCCACCGGGTTTCCACAAAGAGCTAGAATATGGGCTCTAACATCCCAGGACCCCGCCCAGGGCTGAAGGGGCTTTTTCCTTCCTTCTCAAACACCCTATAGGACTGAACTGAGCCAATGTTAGGGATCATAGGGCATCCAAACTTCTTGCAGCTCACGTACCCACACCTGGTTAATATTAATGCGACTTTAGGACCACCTGGGCAATTAGAGGAGCCACACCTGGGGACCCCGTTTAACTTTCAGGGCAGGTGTTCCCCAGGGGTTCAGGAGAGAGTGCATCATTTAGTGCCCGCTGTTCCCTCTCTGGTGGCTGGGAATTCTCAGTGCTCGGGGACAGACACTATTTAGAGCAGTGGTTCTCAACCTTGGCTGCACATTAGAATCACCTGGGAGTCTTTTTAAAATCCCGATTTCTGGGCCTCATCCTCCGGAAATTCTGTTTCTTTGTTATGGAGTGGGGCCACAACATTAGTAACAAAGAAACAGAATTTCCGGAGGATGAGGCCCAGAAATCAGGATTTTAAAAAGATTCCCAGGTGATTCTAATGTGCAGCCAAGGTTGAGAACCACTGATTTAGAGGAAGGGGCTGGGATTCAATGACCACAGACCCGCCAAGTAAGACTCCACACCTGGATGCACACCTGAAAACCGGAACTTGATCATTAAGAACATTTTGTTAAAAAAAAATTAAAAAAAAAAAAATGCCGAAACCGGTTTGGCTCAGTGGATAGAGCGTCGGCCTGCGGACTGAGGGGTCCCGGGTTCGATTCCGGTCAAGGGCATGTACCTGGGTTGCGGGCACTTCCCCAGTGGGGGATGTGCAGGAGGCAGCTGATCGATGTTTCTCTCTCATCGATGTTTCTAACTCTCTATCTCTCTCCCTTCTCTCTGTAAAAAATCAATAAAATATATTTAAAAAAAAAAAAAAAAAAAGAACATTTTGGCAGTTGCCTTTTTACTGATATGATAAAGGACCTATTTTCAGACTTGGAGTGGCTATCTCATAAATAAAGCTGTGGGGTCCCCTGCTCCCCTGACACTGCTTGTCACACAGCCTTAGGCAGCACCTCCCTCTGTCCCCCATGGGAAGGGAACAGAGACATCCCCTAGGGAGCACCTCCCTCTGCCCTCTGCCCTCTGCCCCCCACGGGAGGGCACAGGGACATCCCAGGAGCTCACCTCTTCCAGGGGCAGCTCCCTGAGCAGCGGCAGTGAGCTGGTGAGCAGCCCGATGAGGAAGGGCGTTGGCGAGCACACGATGTCGACCATGGCTGGCGGCAGCACGGGGATGTAGGTGTGTTGCCAGGTGAAGGGGTAGGTGATGGCCACCATGGCATGGCAGCACTTGGACAGCGTGCTGCAGCGGGAGAGAAGGGCGGGAGGGGTGGGTTCAGGGAGGGCCCAGAGAGAAACACTTGCACACCTCCCAAGGCACGTTGAAAAGGCATCCTGCACATATTAGGTGTGTCATGTAATAGAGCCTGACACAGGCTATTCCAGGCAGGTGGAGCTTCCTCGAGGCTCTGAGACATAGCCGGAGCGATGAAATTAATGCCCTGGCCAATTTTTGTAAGTGTGCCTTCACACGTGAGTCCCATTCACTGCTACGCCTTTTCCTCACACCGCCCCCCGTTCAAGACCAAACCCAGAGGACTAAAGCCTCTCTTCTCAGGACGCTCATGCTTCTCCTGAAGACGCTTAATATTCGAACGGGCCTTTTTGTTCTCTCCCACACATCCTCTCAGCCAGCCTGGGGGTGAGTAACTCCGTGGGTATTCGCGTGGCAGCAGCCAGCTCCAAATGACTGTTTTGTAAAAGTGAAGCTCAGGTCTAGTCACCCTTGCCTAGAATTCCAAACTTCAAGATATACCAACATAAGGGAAATACTGGGAGTCTCTCTCTCTCTCTCTCTAATATATACATACTAGAGGCCTGATGCACGAAATTCATGCAAGCATAGCCCTCACAGCCCCGGCTGCCTCGTGGCCCTGCCCCCCACCCACGGGTCATTCTGGAAGGTCATTCCGCCATCTGGTCTAATTAGCATATTAGCTCTTTATTATATAGGAGATATATATATATATATTTTTTGAGGACTGTTTTTTTTTCTTTTCCCAATTACAGGGGAGTCTCTCTTAAAGAATAATGACCATGTTGTAGCCTTCTGTTGGCAAGCGCCGAGCCTTCCTAGCCACTCTCCACACACTTTGTACAGTGCCCGGATCCACTCTCAGTTCACCCAGTGAATGGGTGGATTATTTGGGACGACCCTTTGGAATGTCAGCTCTACTGTGTGAAGACAGTGTTGACTGTGGCAGTCTGAGGTGAGTGAGAGCCGGCTTTCTCTTTTCCTTGCAATCCCTCCTTATTGCGGTGAGCCTGCTGCAGCAGCTCCCCTCTCCTCTTACCCTAGTATGCTGTCTCCAGGAGCGCGTGAGAAGTTGGTGTAATGTAAGAATAAAATAAAAGTGAGGGTCCAGTGGGTTCCCCTTGAGTGCACTGTGTCCTCTTCAGGGCGCGGGCACCTCCCAGCCATTGCCCTGGTTCTTGGCCGTGCTCCGGGTAGGGGAAGTTGCGAGGAGGCTGAGTTCTGGACACATGGCGCTCCTTTACTAGTCCCCCTGATGCCAGGCAGCTATAAGCTCATTGTCATAAACTTTCCTGAGCTCATGAAAAAAGTCACTTAGTGCTGGCTTCAGGAGAAAAGAGGTGATTAAAAGATACTGGTTAGCAAGTGAAACGAGCCAGAGAGGAAAAGACAAATATTGTACGATTCCATTACACCGGAGGACTTTGGATGGGCAGATACATAGAGATAGGGAGTGGAATAGAAGTAACCAGGGGCAGGGGAGTGGGGAATGAGGGGTTAATGGGTCCAAAGTTTCAGTTTGAGATGAAGAAGAAGCTCTAGAAATGGGTAGTAGTGACAGTTGCAAACATTGTGAATGTACTTAATGCCACTGAATTGTGTGTGAAAAATGATTAAAATGATATACTGTATGCTATGTATATTTTACCACAATAAAAAGTATTCATAAACTTCCAAGCGAGTTCCTCTGAATCCAGCACCCCCTGAAACATCCTAAAGTACACATTAGTCCTCTTTTCACCCACCCACCCTGGGGCCTGAAGTTACTAAGGGCAATGCTGAATCTGTGCATGTGCCAGCGTGAGTCTCCTAACATTCCTGTCCCCCTCTTGGCAAACAATCATTCTCATAACAGTCACTGGAGTCAGGACATACCACTTAGTAGCATAGCATCCACATGTTTCAACGGTATTTAGTCCTTGTCTTTCTTTCGAATGATCACCCCCAAAGTAAGAAAGATGCTACGCCAGTTTCCTTCAAATCACTGTATGGTAATGCCGTCTTTATTAGCTGAGTAAGCGTGAGACAGAACAATTTAGTTAGGACTCATGCCAAGGAGAGACTATTAATAATTCAGCCACCAGCTTGGGATGAAGTGATTTCTGTCTTTTGAGAATTTGCTCTCAAGCAGAAAAACTTTTCCCCCAAAGGCACAGCTTTCTCCCAGAGGGTCAAGAATGTTAAATACTTATAGTGAATTGCTTAGCATTTCTGTTTAATTTCCTTGCTCTATAGGCACTGAATGTGTAGCATTTACTTTGTTTTACGGTGTTTTGATTTTAGGGCTGATCTGTGTTGGTGTGTGATCAGTCCACAAAGTTTGTCTGCTCATACACTGTAGTTGTGAGGTCCTGACTTAGAAAACTAGGAGGCTAGCCCAGCCGGAGTGGCTCGGGTGGTTGGAGCGTCATCCTGTGCCCTGAAAGGTTGCTGGTTCGATTCCTGTCAGGGCACAGAGCTGGGTTGTGGCTTGGATCCCTGGTCCAGGCCCATACAGAAGGCAACTGATTTATCTCTCTCTTTCTCTCCATATCCTCGGGTCAGGATTAAAAACAACAACAACAAAAACCTAGGAAGTTAAAATCTACAACATAGTTGTGTCTAGAGCTGCCTTTTCAGACTATATTTTGCAGCCCATTTTAGAGTCCTAAAATACTTTTAATAGGTTGTAATTAGCATTAAAAACAACAACAAAAAGAATAGAATAAGAGTTTGAAAAAAAAGTTTGCTGCATGTTTTCAGTTGTACTAGTACATGATCTGTGTACATGTGTGTGTTGTATGTTCTGGGTCTGAATGTAAAATGTATTTCTCATGGTAGTCTGCAGTTAAAGGAAACCAATGATTTGGACTAGCGAACTGGGGGGTGGAGACAGGTAAAGAGCAATGGTTGATTTGGAACTTTGATATGTTACATGTCTTACTGGGATGTTAGCTTTCATTTCCAAGTGACTAGAGGGAGTCCCTTAAAAGACTTTACTAGTAAACAAGAATTCCCTGAATGAAGAAGCATTTTGTATGAAACCCATCTCTTTTTATAGCACATTTGTTATAAGTTCCTAAATATTACTTGGAGAAAGAAGTGGATCATGTGACAGTCTAGGTAGTAGACGCTGTCATATGTGGTCTACATCTCCAGTCTTTGAAACTCTCACTTTCGTCAATTCACTAAAAGAATAAAAACACAGAACTCACATTTAAGAGTCCTTTTACATTTCAGAGTTGTGGTTCAAGCACTTTTGATTCCGGGGAAGGTACAGAATCACAGAACTTTTGACCTGGGAGTAATCTTAGAGATAAGAGTTCATCCTCTTTTGAACTTTATAACTAAGTCCCTGAGGCCAAAATGGGTGCAAGTCACCTCTGAGTTCAGTGGGGGTGGGGGTGGGGTAGGGGGATAGAAGAGTCCTGCAGACTGGAGCAGACGAAAGAGATACAGCAAGAAGAATGGAGCCAGAAGCCTTTGACTTTTTCTCAGTCACTTCAGTAAAAAACACATCTGTTCAACACCCCCCCCCCCCCCCCCCCCCCGCCGCAGCTCCCTTTCCGCTTTCTTGTGCCTCATCCCTAGAAGGAGGAAGTACAATCGGTTGCTCTCTTCTCTCTGCTGCCACAGCATGCGCTGTGCTGTCTCCTGGTAGCAGCTCACGCCCTGCAGAGCCGGGCAGGCCCCCAGAGGGTGAGGAGACCCTGGTTCAGCGGCAGTATGAGCCAACTGGATGACAAAGGCGGTTGGAACCAGTTTTTAAAACAACGATAAGCAACACCAGTGACATAGGGCGGGGGAATAAATGTACGGAAAAAGAAAATTCATTCAGGTAACTGGAATGCAGTGAGCTAAAGGATAATGGTATTCAACTGCGATGGGACAAATGATGACAACTCAACTGGGTAACCTGCTGGACAGGGAGGTAGGTGTTGCCACTATTGACTATTTTTCCTAGCGAGTGGTTTTTGTTTGTTTTTTAAATGGTCTCTGTTGCAGCTAAACCCAAGCGTTTCCACAGCTGGTTAGCATGAGCACCCTGCTGGCTGGTGCAGGAGACAGGGCGGCAGGAACATGACAGATTGAGGAGCGGTTTGTTCCTCTTGCTCTCAAGCCCACATCATTCTTCTCTTAAAAAATGCCTCTTGAAACACTAGAAGGAAAGGTCAAATTCTGCAAATAACCAGTTAGTGGTAGCCTTTCCACAAAAATAAGTGGTAGAGGAGAAAAGAGGGACTATTTTAAGTGTAGCTGAAGTGTTTTTCTCCATCTCTGCTGCAAATGCTAACGAAATTATTCCCTGACTTGTGAAGGCCATAGGAGCCTTCTGTGGGCGGGGGATGTGGGGGGGTGGTGGTGGTGGTGAGGAGGGTGGGGTGGGGGGTGAGGTGAATGTGCGAAGAATAGTCTCTGGTTCTGGGGATGCTCAGGTGACTCCAAGCACGCTTGCCACACAGCCTCACTGAGCATCTGCTGGGTGGAGGAGAGGCAGTGCTGCGGAGGGAAGGCCCAGGAAGAGAGCCCGGCAGCTGACTCATATTATAGTGGGGGTGGAGGAAAGGAACACCAGTGACAAAGCTGTGAACAATTTGTATAGAAGTGAGGGAGGGAGGAGATGCCCAGTGGGAGTTTGGCTGGGACCCAGGGTTAAAAGCTGGGCAAAGGTTTTTTTGTTTTTGTTTTTTTTTGTTAATCCTCACCTGATGATATTTTCCCATTGATTTTTAGAGAGAGTGGAAGGGAGGGGCTGAGACAGAGAGAGAGAAACATTGATGTGAGAGAGACACATGGATTGGTTGCCTCTGGCATGATCGAGCCCCAATTGAGCCTGCAACCGAGGTCCATGCCTTTGACCAGCATTGAACCCAGGACCCTTCAGTCCATGGGCTGATGCTCTATTCACTGAGCCAAACCCACTAGGGCCATGGTCGGCAAACTCTCAACAGAGCCAAATATCAACAGTACTACGACTGAAATTTCTTTTGAGAGCCAAATTTTTTAAACTTAAACTATATAGGTAGGTACATTGTTATTAACTTAATTAGGGTACTCCTAAGGCTTAGGAAGAGCCACACTCAAGGGGCCAAAGAGCCCCATATGGCTCGTGAGTTGCAGTTTGCCGACCACGGCCTAGGGCAAAGCTGGGCGCAGGTGAGGTTCAGGTCCCAAAATGCTGAAGCATGAGTGCACAGGCATCGGGATGCACTTGTGAGTGCTAACATTCTCCTGCAGAGGGCGCTTCAGTTCTGGTGCCGCCCAGTCCCCGTGCCATCCATGGGTTACTATGCTCACTGCCTTCCCACTCACCTAGGATGCCATCAGAAGAGTAAATGATGAGTTTCCTGAGCTAGACAGACACCCCAGGAGTTTGAAGGATGAGCCCGTCAGTATTCTTTAGTATCCCAAGCAGAGCATCTCTCCTACCAGTGCACCATTGCCAGGAACAGGAATAACAGGTAGACTGTGGTCTGGCCTGGTGCCTGGTGAGACCTAGCGGGGGTGGGCGTCACCATGCAGTGGCTGCCACATTTCCATGACTGTACTTTCAAACCCTGAAGTGATGTGTCACTGAGTTTAAAAAGAACACAGGCTGGACCTCAAGAAAACTGTGCGGTCTCAGGTAAAGCCCTTCACTTCTCCAGGCCTCAGACTCCTCTTCTGTTAAATAAGGAAAGGGGACTAGATGATTTCTGATGTCCTTCCAGATTTAATGTCTAGAAACTACAAAGCGATAGAGAACCAGGAGCAGGCAATAGCTGTAACTGGAAAGAACCAAGACTTCTCGGGCTCATAAGCCAAGACAGGACCAAAGACATCTCACTCTGAGGAACTAATACATGAAAGTGTTGGAGATTTTTGAGCTGCCACAGTAAACCCCCAAAAGACAACACAAAGCCAGCACACCCTGGGAGGGACCTGACTCAGAGAGAACTGGATTAAGTGTCTAGCCCAGGGGTGGGCAAACTTTTTGACTCGAGGACCACAATGGGTTCTTAAACTGGACCGGAGGGCCGGAACAAAAGCATGGATGGAGTGTTTGTGTGAACTAATATAAATTCAAAGTAAACATCATTACATAAAAGGGTACGGTCTTTTTTTTTTTTTTAGTTTTATTCATTTCAAACGGGCTGGATCCGGCCCGCGGGCCGTAGTTTGCCCACGGCTGGTCTAGCCCAAGGTTCTGTTAGGATGGGTTTGGGGTAGAGGACAATAATCTGTGACTATGCTATTCTCTAAATATTGCTTCAAACGTTGTCTTCTTGGCATTCACAGGCAAAAATAGGTAGTTAATACTTAATATTTAATCAGACTGATGCTACTGTGTCACTAAAATTGCATTTAAAAAAATATTTTTATTGATTTCAGAGAGGAAGGGAGAGGGAGAGACACATCAATGATGAGAGAGAATCACTGATTGGCCACCTCCCGAATGTCCCCGAATGGGGATCAAGTCTGCAAATGTGCAGGAGTGGGCAAAAGTAGGTTTATAGTTGTTCGTATGGAATCCCGGTTATGATTGTTACAATAGTTTATTAACTCTGTTTCACATACTCACAACTGTAAACCTACTTTTGCCTATCCTGTATGTATCCCTAAGACTGTCAGCCACTCCAGGGGTCCTCCTTTCACCTCTGTAACTTGTTTCCTGAGCCCATGCAGTCCAGCTGGCTCACTTTTGGATGCCAGACCACCAAGACAGCAGCTACTCACTTTCAAACCCTGCTTGCGCAAACTCACGTGCTTGGAGAGGGTGTGCTTACAAACCCAACCTTTCTCTGAGATGGCAAACATTGCCGGACACAACTGATTCTAGACAGGACATGGGACCCCATTTAGGCTTACAGATACTGATTAAAAATGAACCAAAAGGCCTGGCCAGCATGGCTCAGCGGTTGAGTGTTGACCTATGAATCAGGTTCCATTCCCCGTTGGGGCATATGCCCAGGTTGCAGGCTTGAGCCCCCATGGAGGCAGCCGATCAAGGATTCTCTCTCATCATTGATGTTTCTCTCTCTCTCTTCCTCTCTGAAATCAATAAAAATATATTTTAAAAAATGAACCAAAAGAGGCACACAAAAGGACAAAGGTGTACAGCTACATATGAACTTATTTGTGTAGTTACCCATATGTTAAAGCCAAGGTTCAAACTCCAGTATTTGTCAAGATGTGATATATCATTAGCTAGCAGTCTGTCATTCAGCTTCTAGTGTTACTGCACTATAAAAAGATAAAAAGTAAATTTCTTGAATATTGAAAACCCTGTCCCCTTCTCTCTCTTTCTCTGGAGCAGCTCACACCTTTCCCCCTCTTCTTCCCTCAAGGTGCCTACCTTTGCTCGCTCTCTCCCCCCTAAGCTCCAGGGGTCCTCCTTTTGCCTCTGTAACTTGTTTTCTGAGCCCATGCAGCCCAGCTGGTTCACTTTTTCTACTTCTGTAACTTTCTAAATAAACTTTCACTTGTATTTGAATAAAAAACAAACAATGAAAAAACCTCTGTTTCATATAAAACTTTTGTACAAATTTGTTAATGTGCAGCTTATGACTTTATTATTCAGCCTCATCTATAGAGTTAGACAAAACTTTGGGAACTGAAATTAATAAACTAAAAAAAACCAAAATGTTTATCATTAGGGAAATGAAGAAAGGGGTATAGGGAAATATTTATTTGGGTTGTTATGACAACAGAACAAGCCATCACAACAACATTCTTTTCCATCTGTCAGACTTTGGCTTGACACAGCTTAAGAAACACTCAATGTCCATCCTAAAGATGAAACGGAACAAAAATGTTATTCTAGATTTGATAGATTTTTGGCTCCACTTAAAACCCTTTTATAACTCATACAATATTTGCCACAACTCTGCTATTTCCTCTTGCAGTGGGCAGACTCACTAACAATGATGAGTAAATAAATTGTGTGGTAGGGGGAGGATGCTGGCAACAGTGACTACAGGCGTAAATCAGGCTGAGGTCCACCATCAGATGTCACAGGGCCATGCACTGAGTGTGTGGCATGCCCTGTTCTCATGCACTCCTCTATGGAAAAGAGGAGTTGAAAAGATTGGGGCTATGGACGGAAACCAGAAGAATGAGGCGCCTGCTTCCACTGCTAGCTGAACAGGGCCAGGAAGGGGTGCACGTGCAATGGATGGAGAATTGTGCCAAGTTGATAAGGATGAAAGCACCAGCTCAAACTTATGTGGAAGGCTTTCTTTGTAGATTTTTTTCAGGTCAAACTACTGGCAGCCAGCCACTGCCTCCCAAGCCCTAATTGTCAGGACTTAACCCAAGAACCCTTGATTTCCTATAGCTCTTTTCCCACAAACCAGAAAGAGCTGGGTGTTTGTTGATTCCTCCTGGAGGAACCCCCTCAGGTGGAGCAGCCCGGAGAGAGAAGGTGGGTTCTGGCTTTCCTGCTCGGTAACCTCACATACACGATGCTCTTTGGTGGGGTCTCTGTGCTCTGATTAGTAGCTATGTCAATGTCTTCCAGGTGAGCCAGACTTGGCTTGTTAGTGGAGGGGGCACAACTGAGGTTGGAGAGCCCCCAAAAGGAAGGCTGAGCCAAAGCCCCCAGAAGTATGCAGTTAAAGCGACAAGAGAGGTGGAGAACATGCCCTGACTTCTGAGCACCGGTCTAGGGCTTTCTAAGATCATCCTTTCCCCACCCCCAAAGTCAAGCCTGAGAATGTACAACTAGAGACAGTGGGGCACTGAGCACAGCTGCCAGAGAACACAGACAGTTACTAGAGTGTGATGAAACCTGATCCCGGTCACTGAAGGGTTATTACTCATCCTTGGCTTCCAGGGCCTCAACCTTGAGAACTCTCTGGTCTGAATTCCCCAGGGTCCAGGGAGCTTGGAGAGCTGCCCAGCGCCCAGCACCAGCTGCAGGCTCAGAGACAGGCCTGCTTCCCAAGCTGAGCTGACGGAGTGCCCAGGGAGTACAGTAACGGTGACATCGAGATGAAGAACTGGAACACAGGGTGGAGCAGGCTGGGAGAGCCAAGTGGCTGCTGTCCAAAAGCAACATCATCAAGGTGACCAGATGGCGTGGTGGTGGTGGTGGGGGGGGGGGGCTGGATTCCATCTCCCACCACGCCCCCTGATGAGCTCCACATTCATGTGCTTTGTCCTTTGCATTCCTTCTCTTTTCTTCTTCCTCCCTTTTGTTTTCCAGAGTTGAGAGGCGTATTTCCTCTCTGAACCACAGTGCTTCGATTTTTGTGTTTTGGCAAATGGCCTTCTCTCCAGATGGACTCCTCAGCTGGCCTCGTCTGCTTCTGGCCGGCGGGCCCTCTTAGCCGGCCCACATCGCAGGCTGTCTGGAGCTGCAGCTGCCACTGAGGCTCCTGTGCCCTCAGTTCAGAGCGAAGGCGGCTCTGCTCAGCCACAGTGAACTGCTTTGTGCTCAGCCTCCTGTCTCCTTGCCCTTGTACAGGCAGCTGCTTTTGCCTGGACTATGTCTGAGGCTCAGGGAGTAAGTGCCCTCTCCATCTCCAGGATGCATCCCTCTAGTGAGCCCTCACAGCACTACTGGGTGGTTTGTTCTCTTCCCTGTCGCCCCACTGTACTGAGAGCTCCTTGAGGGCAGCTCTGGGTCTTTCCCCCTGTCCCCAGCACATACATGGTAGAGTACCCAACACAAAGTAGAATGAGTAAAAAGTAGGCCCAATACCAGGTAAGTGTTGCAGAGCAGTGCAGGCCGACCTCGTTTCACACCACGCGTGTGCTTCCGAACCTGCATCTTAGATGCCCACTGACTCCCACTGTCACCCCAGAGGAGCTTCCTCTGAAATCCTATGCCATCACCGACCCCCACCCCGGCATCAGACAGTCCAAGACTGCCTGCCATGCAAACACTTTATCAGAAGTAGCCAAGGTTGTACCTGAGCTTGTCTGCGATGAAGATGACCCTCCTTTCCAGAAGCAGGGAGGCAAAAACACAGAGCAGGTGGCGGATGCTGAGAGACGAGAAGAGGGACTCAAAGTCCACATGTTCGAGCCGGGAGTCCAGCGGGCGGCACAGTTCAATCACCTGCCAGGGAACAGGAGCAGCCGTGAAGGGCCCGCCTACTCAGCCAGGCCGCTCACGCAACAAGTTGTCCTCTGCAAGGGTGGCCCACTGGCAGGGTAAAGGGAAAGGAAAACGAAAGGGATCGGCGAAAAGAAAGAACCCAGGGCACTGGTGGCAGGTACAGGTGGAAGGGAAGCACGTGCCTCACACCAACCATGAGACTGAGGACAGTTTGGACGAGCGGGGGAGAGAATGGCGGAAGCAGTGCCCTTGGCCCAAAGTGGTCGGAGGCTCTCCTGGACTCCCCACAGAGTTCTCTGACTGTGGACTGTGTGCTGTCCCTTAGAGCCCCGCGGGTGAGCGTGCGTCTCAGGAGGAAGTATCGCCTGGAGGTACGGAGTCACAGGCTCACTCAGAAGGACCAGCAGGTCCGAGCAGCACTTTCCAGACTCACCTCCTCTAGAAGGACTTTCTTAAAGGACCAACACCATCCCAAACCCCGGACGTGGAGCCTTTCAGCGCTTACGTTGAGTGTGTGTCTTCTCATTCCGTATTTGCTGTTATGTTCCTGAACTCATCGTGGTCACCACTCATGTGCATGTTTTTTCTCTGTAAGGAGCTGGCTCCTTCACAGAGCAGAGACTGGTTTTCACTCTTAGCACAGTGCCTGCTCAGGGCTGTCCATGCAGTGGGCTCACTAGTGCTAACATCCCCAAGGCCAAACTGCCTGCATCTGGTGTGGGATGTTTCTCCAGCCACAGGGGGCTGCTCTTCTCTATGATGGGAAATTGGGCTGTTCCGGAATGTCCTAGACCCATCCTCCCCCTCCCCGCCTCCGCCCTGGCTACACAGGTGACTTGCTCTGCCAGGGACTTTGGAACTAGAGACCCAAGTCTGAGACAGATGTGCCTCCTGAGGTACCAGAGCCACATAAGGGGAATGGGAAGAATGCCAACCAGCTCCTGGATCAAATGCCGGCCCAGCAAGGACAGGAGCGCTCTCAGAGTCTAGGGCAGCTGTGGGCAAATTACGGCCCACGGGCCGGACCCGGCCCGTTTGAAATGAATAAAACTAAAAAAAAAAAAAAAAAAAGACCGTACCCTTTTATGTAATGATGTTTACTTTGAATTTATATTAGTTCACACAAACACTCCATCCATGCTTTTGTTCCGGCCCTCCGGTCCAGTTTAAGAACCCACTGTGGCCCTCGAGTCAAAAAGTTTGCCCACCCCTGGTCTAGGGTGAATAAGGAGTAGTCCCTGAGCTTGTCTTCCCTAAAAGTAATGTTTTACATAATCAAGTTACAGAGGTGATGCAGACTGAAAACATGAACAGGTTCATATACAATTCAAGAATGCAATGGGCCTGGCTGGCGTGGCTCAGTGGTTGAGCGTCGACCTATGAATCAGGAGATCAGGGTTCGATTCCCGGTCAGGGCACATGTCCAGGTTGCAGGCTCAATCCCCAGTAGGGGGCATGCAGGAGGCAGCCAATTATTCACTCTCATCATTGATGTTTCTCTCCCTCTCTCCCTCTTCCATCCTTTCGGAAATCAATAAAAATACCAAAAAAAAAAAAAAAAAAAAAAAAAAAAGAAAAGAATGCAATGAGCTATACTGAGAAACCAAGAATGTTCAGTGCAGGTCCCTAACCTGGAAGGCCAACATCATGCACAGAAACACATGTGCTGCCATGGCGCAGTCCTGGGGGTTGCTCTCTGGGCCGGAATCCTGGGCTGGATGCACTGGATGATGACACCCGAGGGGCAAGAGGACACCACCGAACGGGACAGCCCACCAAAGGCCAGCCCCTCAGAGCACTTGGACTTGGCTGTCTGGGCCACTCTCTCCCCCAGGAGAGGAAAGCACTTTGACCACTCACCTCAGTTCCCGTTCCTGGCAGGAAGTTCTTGACAATGATGGTTTTGCCCAAGGCTGGGAAAGGGGCTTCCATGACACTCCTCATGAGGGGCTGTACCAGGGCAGGAGAGATGCCTCGGCGTTTTTCCACCTCATCCAAGATCTGCAAGGGTCAGAAGAGTAGCTCAGCCATCCTGAGCCAGGGCACCAAGGTACTGCCTGTTCTGGATGCAGTGGGCCTGCCATGGAGACTGAAGAATCATGGGCAGCCCTGCTGTCCTCATCAGACCAAGCTTACAGTCTCTTCTACCCTATGTGTTATTACCCCAATTCTCCCCCCTGTCATTACTCTCTTTGCCATGTAACTTTTTTTTTTAAACAGGTTATCTTTTTTTTTTTTTTTTTTAAAGATGTTTTTATCCATATTTTAGAGAGAGAGAGGTAGGGAAAGGATAGAGAGATAGGAACACTGATCAGAGAGAAACATCATTGATCAGCTGCCTCCTGCATGCCCCATACTAGAGGGATTGAACCCGCAACCCAGTAACTGAACCAGTGACCTCCTGATTCATGGGTTGAGCGCTCACCCACTGAGCCACACTGGTCTGGCTTCCATGTGACTTTGTAGTTCCTCCCACTAACGGGGCAAAGTATAGTTCCAGCCCCCCTTGATTTTGGGTTAGGCCATGTGAGTTTTTGGGCATTCTCAGTGGGAATAATATACAGATATGCTAAAAGCCACTGAAGTGTATATTTTATTTTATTTATTTTTATTTTTTTGAAGTGTATATTTTTAAATGGGTGAAGTATATGGTGAGTTGTATCGCAATAAAATTGTTACTATAAAACTTCAAATGTTGCCCTGACCGGTTTGGCTCAGTGGATAGAGCGTCGGCCTGCAGACTGAAGGGTCCCAGGTTCGATTCCAGTCAAGGGCATGTGTCTTGTTTGCGGGCACATACCCAGTAGGGAGTGTGCAGGAGGCAGCTGATCGATGTTTCTCTCTCATCGATGTTTCTAACTCTCTATCCCTCTCCTTTCCTCTCTGTAAAAAATCAATAAAATATATTTAAAAAAACAAAAAACAAAAAAAACCTTCAAATGCAAGACGCTTCATGATCTATTTCAATTTAAATGCCATTTATGGGTTTGGGGAGAGGTAGGAGAGGGTAAAAGGGGGATAAATAGTGGTGGAAAGAGACTTGACTGTATATCTATACAATATACAGATGACATATTATACAACTGTACTCCTAAAACCTACATAATTTTATTAACCAATGTCACTCCAATAAATTCAATAATAACTTAAAAAAAACCCCAAACCTCACACTTCCATTATACCTTAATAAAACTGGAAAAAAATTGGGAAAATAAGCCATTTAAAAGAATATCACATGTACCTATTCAACCCTTGATGTATGGCTAGTCTGAATTGAGATGTGTTGTAAGTGTAAAATAATCAGTGGATCTCAAAATACAAAATAAATAATGTAAAATATCAATGACTTCATGTTGATTACATGTTGAAATGATAGTATTGTGGATATATTAAATACAATTTATTATTAAAGTTAAAAAGATAATATGGTAGTTCCTTAAAAAATTAAACATAGAATTATCCTATGATTCAAAAATTCCACTTCTGGGTACAAACCTGAAAGAATTGAAGGCAGAGACTCAAACAGATATTTGTATAGTCATGTTCATAGCAGCATAATCCATAATAAAAAGCTAAAAGGTGGAAACAACCCAAATGTCCATCAACTGATAAATGGATAAACAAAATGTGGTATATACATATTGTTCCGACTTAAAGAGTTAAGAAATTTTCACCCAGGTTCTAACATGGATGAACCTTGAGGGCATGCGCTAAGCGAAATAAGCCAGTGACAAAAGGATAAATAGTGTATGATTCCACTGACATGCGATGTTGGAGTAGTCAAATTCACAGGGACAGAAAGTAGAATGGTGGTTGCCAGGGGCTGGTGGATGGGGTGGGAGGGAATGGGGAGTTAGTGGTTAATGGGTACAGAGTTTTAGTTTGGGAAGGTGAAAAGGTTCTGGAGATGGATGGTGGTGGTGATTGCACAACAGTGTGAATGAACATAATGTCAATTAACTGTACACTTCAAACTGGTTAGAATGGTAAGTTTTATATTATATATATTTAGCACAATACAAAGAAAATAATATGGCAAAAATTTTTAAAGAGTTTCATAGGGAGGGGGAGATAAGTCAGGAGAAAAATATATTAAAAGGCTGCTCAGGGGAACAATAACGAAAAATGGTTGAGGAACACAGGGCCAGTGGGATGAGGGTGCCAGTGCTCGGCCCAGGCCTTCGGAGGCCTTTGGAGGCCTGCCTTTGCGTTTTTGCTTGCCTGCTTGTGCCTCTGCTATAGCCGTAGGAAGAGCAGACGTGGGCCAGCTCTCTGTCTAAAGAGGATGACAGACATGTGGCCCAGACCCAACCGGACTTGCAACCTAAAGCAGATCTGCCAGCCCAGATCAGCCAACCCCCGCCTACTCCTAGCACATGAGGGAGTCCAGTGGAGATCAGCAGAGCCAAGCCCTGACCTGCATGTCTGTGAGAATAAATGATTGTTGCTTTCAGCCACTGTGGTTTGCTATACAGCATTATTGTGGCAATATTTAATGATAAACCTTCTTCAGAGATTCTAAGAGCAGTTCTTATCCATGATTCCTATCTGGACTAAAGAACAATTTGCCATTTTTGTCATCCTTGTCCCTCACCTGAAAATAGCTTGAGTTCTAGGGATCAGTTTGCCAAAGCTCTGTTTCTAATTCTACCCTGAGTATTTGCTGTACCGTCTTTGGCAAGTCATGACACTACATTCTTAACATATCCCTGGTCACAAAACTGACGTGAAACCCCAGGATTGTGCCTCACGCAAGCATGATGGCATGTTTACTTGCTCCACATCCCCTGCACAGGACATAGCAACGAAGCTCATGTGAATTCCAAAGCTGTCTTTGGAAGCTAACTCACATGAGCTATTTTACTTCCAGCTTTCTTTCTTTTTTTTAATTAAAATTTTTTTTTTCTTTATTGATTAAGGTATTACATATGTGTCCTTATCTACTCATTGCCACACCCCGTTCTCCCCCCACCCCCTCACCCAGCTTTCTTTTCTTTGGGAGGAGCAGGAAGGGAGAGAGAGAAACATCTACCTGTCGTTCCACTTACTGATGCATTCATTAGTTGATTCCTGCATGTATCCTGACTGGGTATTGAACTTGCAACCCTGGTGCACTGGGATGACAGGCCAACCAACTGAGCTACCCGACCAGGGCTACTTCCAGCTTTCACATAAGTATTCTCACAAGAACAAACGCTGTGACCTAGAGCCTTATCTCTGCCTTTAAACCCATGCCAAAGACTTGCAGGAGCAGCAATTTATAAATGACCACCTTTACTGTAGAATGATTACCACCAGTGGAGTGGAGGAAAGAGCATGTCTCAGATTACACGGATACTACTAATTATTTCAAACACACTTGCACATAGAGTGTAAGTTCTATCTGGCAAGAGGTCACGCTCTATCAGCATAATTCAGGCTTCCTCTGCGGTTGGTGGAGGTGGGGCAGGAGGTAGACTTTTGTTTTGGAATGCTTTTTAGGAAATGCTGCCTCACACCCATGGACAGCAGATGTACGACTTCAATTCTCCAAAAGAAATCTCAGACTGAAATAAATGCTGAAGGATTTTATATAAACTTACGAGTATCTCCAGTTAATATAGGAAACTTAGCTATATCTGACTTTTGACATTAGCATGATATAGCATAATAATCTCTTATACACCAATTTAAAATACTGTGGCGGATCGGCCAACTCAATATGGCAATTCCTGTATCTTGGTATATTAGCAGAAGAACAAATTATATTAAGATTTCAATAGACTTAGGGCATTATTACAATAACAAATCATATACACATAGCACATATACACATATGTACATCGATACATATACATACATACATGCATCATAGTGGGTTTTTGTCCAGCAAAAGCAAATATGACCAAAGATAATGCTTAGAAGAAAAAAAATAAAACATGGGAAATTTTGGGAAGATCCTCTGCCACTCCCATCCTTAGCTACAATTACTTTGATTCTCTCCCATTCCCCAGTTTCTGAGCCCTGACCTTCATCAACTGTTATTTCCTGATGCAATGATAAGAGAATAGAGGCCACTGCGAGGGGAGGAGGAGGAAGCGGGAAGGAAGAGTGGAGAGGTAGATTATAAAAGTACCGGAAGTTGGGGGTTTCCTGTGTCCTTCTGGGCCCTGCCTCCTTTCTCTGAGGCCCAATTCCTCACCTTTGAAAAGAGGCTGAAGCATCCCAGGCGGCTCACGATGCAGTAAACTTCAGGGAGACGCTTCCCTTTGCCACCAGGCTTTTTGGAGAGAAATACAGGAAATCATGAGTGCTACCAACTTCAGGGAAGGAAAGAACCCAAAGATTTCAGAGTGCTATCGTTTGTCTGATGTTTTCATGCACCATACCTTCGGACAACTGTTGTGCACACAGGAGGTGCTCAACATGTAATCATAAATAAGAGGCATAATTTGTTTACCCAAATCACTATAATTCCTTGTAAGAAACTATATGTTTATTATAATAAACTTTTAAATAAACTATATGTTTATTATTTTGATAATTCCAAAGGAGAAATAATTTCTGAAAATCCTTTTTGGAAACTGACTTTTAAGCTAATTTTCAACAAAAAACAAAATCAATCTCAATACTTTAATTTTACCAACAAAAATTATGATCCTATTTAACTTTTTCAAGGATTACCCATACTTTTTAATCAGTAATTAATTCAACAGATATTTACTGAAGAGCTCCTATGTGCCATGCATTTGCATTACTCTTTTTTATTTTAAGAATGCTTTTATTGATTTTAGAGGGAGAGGAAGGGAGAGAGGGAGAGGGAGAGGGAGAGGGAGAGGGAGAGGGAGAGAGAGAGAGAGAGAAAGAGAGAGAGAGAGAAAGAAATGTCAATTGGCTGCCTCCTGCACGCCCTCCACTAACCTGGCCATGTGCCTGACCAGGAATTGAACTGGTGACTTTTGTTGCATGGGACGATGCCCAACCAACTGAGCCACACCGGCCAGGGCCATGCATTATTCTTTTTTAAAATATATTTTTATTGATTTCAGAGAGGGAGAGATAGAATCATCAATGATGAGAGAGAATCATTGATCAGCTGCCTTCTGCACGCCCCCTACTGGGGATCCAGCCTGAAATCCAGGCATGTGCCCTTGACCGGAATCGAACCCAGGACCCTTCAATCTATAGGCCAACTCTCTATCCACTGAGCAAAACTGGCTAGGGTACATTATTCTTTTTTTATTTGAATAGATTTTTATTGATTTTAGAGAGAGAAGTGAAAGGGAATGAGAGAAACATTGATGTGAGAGAGAAACATCGATTAGTTGTCTCCTACACGCATCCTAACTGGGGATTGAACCCATAACTTGGTCATGTGCCTTGATCGGGAATTGAACCCATAACCTTTTGGTGCATGGGATGGTGCTCAACCAACTGAGCCACACAGGCCCCGGCCATGCATTATTCTTGACTCTAAATTATATTAGCCTATTTCTAAGACTAAAATCATTCTCAGTAGAAAATGATGTGTCACTACTAAAGATTTTCAAAGGAATGGGCCTCAGAGGACAAGTTTTCAAATGTTTTAGCACAGTCAGTATATTGGGATAGTTTATGACTTTTAAAGGCTCTAAAGGAGACACTTGATCAATTATTTGCACCATGAACGATAAAACCAACCCTTTTCTGTATTAGCCCCATTATGAATGTTCTCGCTAAGGTACCCAGGTCTGTTTAGCATGTTTTATTAGAAAGAACATTTGGTTTAAGAAGAGAAAGTCTTTTACTTGGTGGGGAAAACATTGGAGAAAGTATTTTCTTTCCAAAGGAGACATCGTCCAATGTAACAACTGTTCCTGTCTGTCAGTAAGATTCAGCTGAGGCTCCCAATCTTCCTCCATATTCTTTTAAAAAAATGTATTTTATTGATTTTACAGAAAGGAAGGAAGGAAGAAGAATAGAGAGTTAGAAACATTGATGAGAGAGAAACATCAATAAGCTACCTCCTGCACACCCCATACTGGGGATTGAGCCTGCAACCAAGGTATGTGCCCTTGACCAGAAATGAACCCGGGATCCTTCAGTCCTTGGGTCAACACTTTATCCACTGAGCCAAACCGGTTAGGGCTCTTCCTCCATATTCTTAACCATCCTGGTTAACCTGGCACACCACCTGTCCCTTCTCTCGTGGCACATGGTGAAACCGTGGGAAGCCAGCACCGGCTCTGTGCGGCACTCTTGCTGACTGAGAAGCAAATGTACTAACCAGCAGTCTTCGGCAGTAACCGAACCTTCTGCCTCCGTCTTCTCCAGTTAAGACAAATGAGAATGTTTCACTGTGGTGGGGAAAACAAGAGTACATTACGAAGCAAAACAAAACAAAGGCACACCACGGTGAGTGCTGTAAACATTCAGAAGGAGGCTGTCCTGGCTGTCCATCTCTGGCTGGGACTCGGGTCACCTCTCGCGTTGGAGTCTGTCAGGGACAGGGAGCTCTAAAGTGTTACTGTGTCCTCAGAGGATTTTTTTTTTTTTTCACTCTGAGATCTCATATAATTCTATCACCTGAGCCATCCCAGGACACAAAACAGTCATTTACTGGGCACTGATTGTGGCTACTGCCTTCCATGAGCATAAGGGTGAGGTCGCATGCACTGGTCTAGGGATGCGACTCAGTGAGGGAGAAGCTGACGAGAGGGACAGTCCTGGGCCCCCTCAGAACTGCCCTGGGTGTGGCGTTTCCAGGGGACCGTCTGTTCAGAGCCACCTCCAGGCTTGGGCTGTCCTTAGAGGCTGCTGGGTCAACATTGAGGAACACAGCAGCCCTCAAACATTTAAGATACACAGCCTACTGAGTTTGGTCAGTTGCTGAACATCTGATAATAAAATTTTTATACCTAGCCACATGGGCTAGAGCAGAAATGTGAACTAATCACAGTCTGAGTAACAGCTAGAGGGCTACTGAAGAAATGCCTCAGTGGACCTGGGCAGGATGGGTGATGGGCAATGTTTTCCTGGACTAGGAATGACCTTATTGCCCTTCACAAAGGCTCATGAAGTAAACAAATGCGCAGACCAAGTGAGCAGCCTGGGAACCTGCATACTTAGCAAGGTTATTCTTATCATCGGGAAAGTTTTAAAAACACTGGTGAGGGAAACCTCAGCCCAGGCCATAAAGATTGCTTAACGGTAGGCCTGACTTATGGGGTCTGCCACCTATGGCCCCATCTCTAGTTCTCGCATTAGTCTTTTAAAAAAAAATGTATATATTTTTATTGATTTCAGAGAGGAAGGAAGAGGGCGAGAGAGATAGAAACATCAATGATGAGAGAGAATCATTGACTGGCTGCCTCCTGCAGGCCCCCTACTGGGGATTGAGTTGGCAAACGGGGCACATGCCCTTGGCCGGAATTGAACCCTGGACCCTTTGGTCCACAGGCCAACACTCTACCCACTGAGCCAAACTGGCTAGGGCATGTCTTAGTCTTTGAGGGTGGGGAGGGGAGATGCCAGCACCTACCTAGTAAACTGCTGGACGGGAGTCCAATCCTTGGCATCGGGGAAACAGAACTGGGGGATGGCCTTCAGCTGGTCCTCAGCCTCTCTCATGAACTTGAAAGACCTTTCCAGCTGCAGGGAAAAGGGCAAGAGAAGGTTGGAGAATAAACCATACCATGGGAGAATGAGGCAGACCACATCTCCAACCTTCCCACAGTCATGACCACCACCTTCGAACCCCCCTTCCTTGGAAGGGTTTCCAGCTCATTCTGCTGAGGCCATTTTCCCCCAGGCCAGTTTTAACTATGGTCTTATGGGGGAAGTCAGGAGGAAAACAGTGTGCTTTAGAGAAATGTCTTCTATGCCTACCATTCTGGAATATAACTATTTTAATCAATAAGGAAAAACTGTCATAGCAATCTCTTCCAAATAGGAGACTCATGAGTATGCAAGGCGGAGCCTCAAATCAAGTCTTCAAACCTCTGGGCCCAAAGTTGCCTGTCCTGCTGCAAAGAAGTGTACAACACTTCTCAGCGAATACATCCAGCCACATTATATCATACAGTGAATTCAACTCATGTCAGAGTCCTTGAATGTCAGAGCCAGAAGGAAAATAGACATCATCCAGCCTCACAGTCTTCTTTTAGAGATAAGGAATTAAGCCCTGAGATGTTAAGTCATCTGTTCATGATCACACAACTGAGCTAGGAATAAACCTGATATTGCCCCGGCTGGTACAGCTTAGTTGGTTGAGCGGAGTCCAATGCACCAAAAGGTCGCTGATTAGATTCTGGGTCAGGACACATGCCCAGGTTGCAGACTCTGTTCCCAGCAGGGGGCATGCAGGAGGCAGCCAATTGATGTTTCTCTCTCCCCCTCTCCTTCCCTCTCTCTCTAAAATCAATAAAAACATTTTTAAAAAATGATCTTAGTCTCTAGTTTGTCTTTCTCCAATTTATCTGACATCATAGACTAGGTGAGCATCATCTTATTTAAAAACAGAACAAATGAATAAAGTCTGATTAGAGATTATATTTAAAGCCATGAATTTGCTTATTTTGTATATGAACAGGAATCTGCGCTTCTAATTTTTTAAATTTTTAATTAATTATTTATTTTTTTGGTTAATCCTCACGCGAGGATATTTTTTCCATTGATTTCCAGAGAAAGTGGAAGTGGGGGAGGGAAGAAAGGAGGGTAGGAAACATCAATGTGAGACACATGGATTGGTTGCCCCCCAAATGTGCCTGGACTAGGGCCAGGGTTTGAACCTGTAACCCAGGTACATGCCCTTTACTGGGAATTGAACCCTCAACCCTCTGTTGCTCAGGCCAATGCCCTAATCACTGAGCCACCCCAGCTAGGACCACATAAGCACATTTACAGGGAGTAGCACAAACAGATCCCTCTCACAAATACAGCCAGTATCACAGATGGCTGGAAAATATCCCAGTCTCTGTAAATTGTCATAGAGAACTGCATGACAGCAAACATCTTATGGAACATGACAATGATTCCTAGCATGCAAATATGAAGTATAAACCTTGAGTACGGTGACTATAGGAGTGGGACATAAAACTCAGGAAAATGAGTTAGAAAAGAGAAGGAGAAAGAAAGAGGAAGCGGTTCTTCTGATAGAGTGAGCGGAGTGAAGGAAGTAGATATAAAGTAGCGTGGCATGCAAAATACATGTATGGAATGGTCACGATAACATAAAAAATACATTTAAAGGAACACTGGCCACAAGACATATTTCCAGCAGGAGGAGGTGGTTAACTAGATTAGGGTGCCCACATAATGGAGCATTATCTAATTTTAAAAATGATGATTTAGAATTTGCAATCCAGGGAGAAACTAAGATGGCGGCATAGATAAACACCGGGAAATTGCTGCTTCCCACAACAATCGATAAATGCATCAAAAACACAAGGTGGACATCATCCAGAACTACAGGAGGGCTGGCTGAGTGTAAATTCTACAACTAGAAGGAAAGAAAAGCACACTGCGAGCGGAAGGAGCTGCGGAGGTGGAGTGCAGAGGTACGGGGGCTCGCGAGTGGAAAGGGTCTGGCACCTGAGGACGCGGCTGTCTTTTTTAATCCGGAGGGAGACACAAGCTCCCGACGGCTCTGAAATCTGGTTCCGGGAAGTCTCTGGGGACCCAGGACTCATACGGGGAGATACTGGACTGTCTGGCAGCGGGCGAGCTTGAGAGCAGCTTTCCCTCAGAGGTGCTTGCAGCCATTGCCGGGACACTGGGACTCTCGACTCCTTCGGGCGGGGCTGAGGCTCCGCCATAGCTGCTTTCTCCGCCCTTTGATTTCTTGAGACCCCGCCCCGCCCAGGCTGCGGCAGAGGCTTTTGCATATGAATGCCCCGGGCATTTGCAACCTGTAATTACCTAACCGCAGCCGGGCCAGATAGACCCAGAGCTTCCAAGAGAAGGCCCAAGGCCCCACAGCGGCTTGCATTGCTACACAGCTGAGCATCATCAGGGCACTTCCAAACTCCAAAAAAAAAGGAAGGGGAATCTGCAGTTCTCTTCTCTTCGTAGTTCCTGCTGTGTAACCTCAGGCAGAGGCTAAATTAGCACCTCCTTAGATCCAAGAGCCACTGTACCCAGTGGTCAGGGGGGAACCATCCAGATCACAACTCCTCAGATCCATAAGGGACACACTCAAGGGTGCAGTCTCAGTGAGCACCAAAGCCCCACTGAAGCAAGTCTTGCCCCAGAAGGGTGTCTCTAGCACAGAAGTTCTCCCACTGCAGACACAGCTGATTCTTGCTGCCAATTGCCCTGGAGGTCAATTACTCCCAGTGATCCTACAACAACCAAGGCATAGCTACAACAAGACTGTGCACAAAGCCCACGAGGGGGTGCACCAAGAGTGTCCACCTCAGGTAACTGGGGAGGCTGAGCCACTGGGCCCTACAGGACACCTAGCACACAAAGCCACTCTATCAACACAGGGAAGCAGCCAAAATGCGGAGACAAAGAAACAGGTCACAAATGGCAGAAATGGAGGAAAGCAAACGACTGGATATAGAGTTCAAGGCCACGTTTATAAGGTTTTTCAAGAATTTTATGGAAACCGCCGATAAATTTAATGAGTCCCTCAATAAGTATAGTGAGACCATGGAGGACATGAAAAAGGACCAACTAGAAATTAAGCATACACTGACTGAAATAAAGAATAATCTACGGAGATCCAACAGCAGACAAGAGGATCCCAAAAATCAAGTCAAAGATTTGAAATACAAAGAAACAAAAAATACCCAACTGAAAAAGAAAAAAGAAAAGAGATTCCAAAAATATGAAGATAGTGTAAGGAGCCTCTGGGACAACTTCAAGCGTACCAACATCAGAATTATAGGGGTACCAGAAGAAGAGAGAGGGCAAGATATTGAAAACCTATTTGAAGAAATAATGACAGAAAACTTCCCCCACCTGGTGAAAGAAATAGACTTCCAAGTCCAGGAAGCGCAGAGAACCCCAAACAAAAGGAATCCAAAGAGGACCACACCAAGACACATCATAATTAAAATGCCAAGAGCAAAAGACAAAGAGAGAATCTTAAAAGCAGCAAGAGAAAGACAGTCAGTTACCTACAAGGGAGTACCCATACGACTGTCAGCTGATTTCTCAACAGAAACCATGCAGGCCAGAAGGGAGTGGCAAGAAATATTCAAAGTGATGATTAGCATGAACCTGCAACCAAGATTACTTTATCCAGCAAAGCTATCATTCAGAATAGAAGGTCAGAGAAAGAGCTTCACGGATAAGAAAAAGCTAAAGGAGTTCTTCACCACCAAACCAGCATTATATGAAATGCTGAAAGGTATTCTTTAAGAAGAGGAAGAAGAAAAAGGAACTCTTACCATTTGCCACAGCATGGATGGAACTGGAGAGCGGATAAATACCACATGATCTCACTCATTTGTGGAATATAATGAACAACATAAACTGATGAACAAGGACTGATCCAGAGACGGAGAGGCATTGATTGGACTGTCGGGCTTTGGAGGGAGGGTAGGGGAGGGTGGGGGTAAGGGGGAAAGATCAACCAAAGGACTTACATGCAGGCATATAGGCCTAACCAATGGACACGGACAACGGGGGGGGGGGGGTGAGGGTATGGGGGGGGGGGTAGAGGGTAACGTGGGGACAAGGACACATATGTAATATCTTAATCAATAAAAATATATTAAAAAAAAAAAAAAAAGAATTTGCAATCCAGGCATGTGCCCTTGACCGGAATTGAACCTGGATCCTTCAGTCCACAGGCCATTGCTCTATCCACTGAGCCAATACATATTCAATTTGTATTGAATATGTTTATAAATAATCAGTGGTTTACAAAACATGATTAAAAAACGATACATGTACAGGATGGGACAAAGACTATTCAGTTGTGTGTATGTGAAACACAGAGTTTATTCTTATATTACTCTTTATTAATTATTGTATTATTTTCTATATGAACAACTATAAACCTACTTTTGCCCCACACTGCTTTGCCAGAAAATCATAATATGAAAAAAGACTAGAAGAAAACACAACAAATGCTGTGTTGACCTCTATGGAATGAGATTATAGGTGACTTTTTCTTTTCTGTATAAAATATGTTTTTATTGACTTTAGAGAGAGAGGAAGGGAAAGGGAAGAGAGAGAAATAAATATGGATGTGAGAGGGAAACATCGCTCGGCTGCCTCCTGCATAACCCCTACTGGGGATCGAGCCTGAAACCTGGGCATGTGCCCCAACCAGGAATTGAACCGGTGACATTTTGGTGCATGGGGACACTCAACCAACTGAGCCACGTTGGCCAGGGCCATTTGTTTCTTTACACATTTGCTGATTAATCTCTTAACAGTGAGTATGCAATATTCCATGCAAAAAAGTTTCAATGTGGATGTCTAGCAGTCTGGAGATTCCAGGTTGGAAACTAGCATTTAATAGTGACGGTGATTAATTCATTAACTAATTCATGAACTAATGCCTTTATTCCTGGAACACTGATTAAGTACTGCCATATACAATATTGTGTTTGGCCCCAAGGAGTAAACAGGATGACAGGACAGTCCTTCTTCCCTTGTGCTCGGTATTTGTGGTTCTCAATGGTATTGTGAGTCAGTGATAACCAGAAGCCTCTCTTAGCCAGGGGACATCGTCCCCAACCTAGGCATGTCCATAGCATGGGGGTTTTCACGGGATTGTCCCTAGAAGTCAGCAGGATGAAGGTGACTCTGTGTCAATTTGGCTCACTTCATTTATGTAGAGTTTCCATCCCAAACTCCAAGAACAGGGCTTTATTGCAGTGCTGAACCACTGAGGTGGGTCAGAAGGAAGGCTGACCCAGAAAAGGAAGGGATCGGCAGCTGGAACCTAGGCCTCACTTGGGTGGTGATGGCAAAGGAAGGCCCTGGCCAGGACACAGGCTCCTCTCCACCTGAACACCCTCAGCCTTGGGTCTGCATGAACCCTACAGGGAGAGCCTCACATGCTACCTCCTGAATCTTTTGTATGCTTACCTTTTTTTTAAAAAAAATATTTTTATTGATTCCAGAAAGGAAGGGAGGGAGAGAAAGAGATAGAAACATCAATGATGAGAGAGAATCATTGATTGGCTGCCTTTGGCACACCCCACACTGGGGATCGAGCCCACAACCCAGGCATGTACCCTGATTCATAGGTCAATGCTCAACCACTGAGCCATGCTGGCTGGGCTGTATGCTTATCTTGTGCTCTCCTGTCAGTGTGAACAGAAAACACATTTTGCTCATCTTTGAAACCTCTGGGGCTGAATGCAATAGGGTTTCAGTAAATTCTGGTTGGATTGAACTAGAATGTCATGGAAACTCTTTACTACTGCTGTCAAAGCCTAAGAATAATTTACATAGTATTGGTCATGCCATTTGAGGCTTTATTCAGGGCCATTTCATTTTAGGTGCCATGATTTAATACATGGGTAGAGCCCATTACTCATAGCCATGAACCCTGTTAGAACAGAATAGGATTCCTGTATGTATGCACATACAGAGGTGCATGGTACATATACAGATGTTTATTAGCATGGCAACAAATGTGACACTCCTTAGGGAGAGCTGTGTGGCTGGATGGGAAAGAGGCTTCTAGAATATGTTGGGAAATGTGGTTGGATAAGGAGACGGGGGAGGGGGGGAAGGATGGTACGGTTGGCACAGAGACCACAGGAATTCAGGATGTATTTTTGATCACACGCTGAGTCCTTGGATCTCACCTCCTGTGACCTCCCAAATTCTCCAGAAGTTTCTTCATGACATCCCTAATTAGGACCCAGTGTTGAGATTCTGGACACTACGTGATTCTCAGACTCCCACACCTCCCTGAATCCATGAGTTCTGCAGTCGCCTGGCAGGCCACAGAGGCCGGGCCCACCCAGTACCTTCAGCGGGAACTGCTGGGTGAGTTCTGGCACGTAGGAGGCCCCTGCCTGCTTCTTGTGCAATGACACGACTACAAAGTACTCGAAGAGCTGCCTCTCCTGGTACTCGATAAGCTCTCGGTCAAGTGATGAGTATCTTGGAGCCTGCTTCAGGCGGGACTTCACATTGACCAGGCGTCGGCTATGAGCTGGGGGAGGGGAGGGGAGAGGGAGAGAGAGAGAGATAGAGAGTCTGAAGATGACCCATTTTCCAATGTGCAATTGCACAGAGCTGCAACAGGTTATGTAATTCCCAGCTCAAAGTACTTTTCTAATCCTAAAAAAGTGTTCCCACATTTAAAAAATTAGTACAAATACTTTCTTTGGGATCTTTGCCAAAATTCTGGGAGGAGAACACTCTCTAGGCCGCCAGGCTAATTGGTAATTGGGGTGCAGGAACTTGGAATGTTGGGCTTCTGCTCCACCATGGATTTGCTGTCTGGAATTGGGGCCGGGCCGGGAGCAATCCTTGCATTCCTCTGTCAGATGGGGTGGAGACACTGACTCCTCCCCTCCCTCATTTCCCTCATCTTTCCAATTGTGGGATGTGACAAAACCCAAACCATAGAGCTTTTGGAGCTGGGAACTTTGTAAACATCCCGTGTGACTCAACCAAGAGAGACCTGACTAACCCAAGAACTCCCATCTGCCTTCACCATTCTGTGCAATGGAAACGAGCCCGCTTTATTCTAGGTGGGCTGTGTAGCAGCAGAATGTTAGAGGTGAATGAGGCAGGGCCACTGGGTGGACGGATCTCCATCGCCTTACGACACAGCCCTGGGCTACAGCTTTCTTTGACTTCCACCTGGGGTCTGAGAAATTGCAGAAAACTTACCAAAGCCTGACCTAAATCACCACATTTTGATCCACAGGGGCTAATTATTTCAATGATTTCATATGACAGATGAGGAGCTAGAGGCCCTGAGATCTTATGTGAGTTCCTCCAGATCATACAGACATTTGAACAATAGGGCCAAAGCCCCAGGTGTCCGGAGACTTAGGCCAGAGGTAGTGTACTTCACTCAGGTGTGAAACATACCTATGACATAACGGAAAGGCATGGGAACAGTGGGGCCCTGCAGGTGTAGCCACCCTGCATCTCTGGAGTGGAACAGGCCCATCTAGTCATGCTGAGGACTGACCCTCCCCCGCCCCCCCCCAGCATCCTGTGCCCCCCCCATCCCCACACCCCCTGTACCAGCATGGTTACTGCTCTTCTCACCTTTCAGCTTCTCCTCGGTGTCACTGTCAGATTCACTGTTCTCATCTGTCACTAGATTGAAAAAAAGGAAGAAAGTTGCAAATGTAAGTTTTTCTGATGAAGGAAACTTTAAAAAAATATATTTTTATTGATTTCAGAAAGGAAGGGAGAGGAAGAGAGAGATAGAAACACCAATGATGAGAGAGAATCATTGATCGGCTGCCTCCTGCACACCCCCTACTGGGGGTTGAGCCTGTAACCGAGGCATGTGCCCTTGACCGGAACTGAACCCAGGATCCTTCAGCCTGCAGGCTGAAACTCTACCCACTGAGCCAAACCAGCTAGGGCTGTAGGAAACTTTTTATATGTGATAGCACAAAGCCAAGATTTCTAGTTTAGAAGGACTGTTTTCCTTTTGTCTATTTAAATGTAATGGGCAAATCATGTCTTTGTCCAACAAAATGTATTTCCAAATTAATTCGGCCCTAGATTAGATGGTACCTATATCAAATTATACAGCAAAAGATACTGGCCCCTTTTACGCATGCTAAGCAAGTAGGGCTGCTTCCACAGTGAGGTTGGAGCATGCGGCCCTGGGCTCACTGGATGGAAGGACAGGGGGAGAGGACCAGAGGACATGCCACCAAGCTGAGCGCCTGGCTGTTGGACCGTCCTGGGGACTAGGAAGACATCCACAAAGCACCAGCTTGTTCTCTTGGCGGCCAGCCCAAAGCAATAGGAATCCACTTCTAGGAAGAATCTGTTTTCAGATCCTCTGGGGGATGCTCCTACCTTTTCCTGAGTTGCTCTCTGTTGACTGGGACAGCCTCTTCACTCGTTTCTTTCCTCTTCGGGCCTCATAAATGGCATTGATTCGCAACACCAGCTGCCAGGCACCAAGAGAAGAAATGCCAGTGTTGGCAGCCTCCTCCCCATGTGGGATCCCTTCACTGCCCATTCTCTTCCAGAATGATGGAGGGCCAGGGAAAGGGGCAGGGAGGAGACATGTCCCACTGGCGTCTTTTCTGCCAGACAGGAACGTGGCTGTCAGGAACACTAGAGGAGGCCGCCATCCTCACTGGTGTATGAGCGGTGTTGTCTAAATATGCTAACACCTCCAGCTGAGACACCAGGGAGGATGATTTCATCGGTTAATGGTATGATGGCTGCTCCCCTTTCAATATTCCAATATCACTGTGGTTTGGGAAAAAGCTTTTGCCCCCAAAACAAAACAAGAAAAGGAAGAGAAAGCATAAAAAAGCTCCCAGAAGGGCCCCTTTCGTGGGAACCATGCCAAAGAATGTCTGAATGGGGAGGGCGCAGGGATTACGGGTGCTGAGTCCTCACCTCAGCACTGAGTGGTGCCATGCTATGGCTCAAGTTTTTATAAGATTTCGTGTAACGTGATGGTAAAACATGCTGATTTTTCTCTGGTTTGATTAGGCCTGTCAAAAGGCTATTTGACCCAGTGCCTGTGTGCTGTTTAAACGATGGCAATTCACTTTAATTTCAGGCAGTAAAGCAAGAGGAAATAAACTGGTGCAAATTAAACATGTGGATGAAAAAGGGGTCGCATACTAAACTGGAAAAGCTCAGGGGAGGCCTGCATGGAGGCCTTACAAACTCAGAGACTGAAAGTAACCACATTGGATAGTCTGAACATAAAAATTCCTAACTAAAAGCAAGTCATGGCAACAGTCATGTCCTAGGCTTACAGGCCTTGAGAAAGGTCAGCCTTTACCCTTAAGTAAGCCTGTCTATAGTCTTTTTGCATCTAAGATAACATACCCTTGGAATGTCACAGTAAATCCTCCTTTCTTGGATCCCTCAGGGCATAACCACAGGCCAGAGCACCAGACCACCGGTTCTGTCTCTGCAGTGGGTGTGACACTGGCACAGGGCATGGAGGAAGGCACTCTACTGCTTGAGGCCATGAAGAGGAAGATGTGGCCTTTTGAGGCTGGGCAGTGGAACACTGTCTGAATCAGAAGAGTAGTTACAGCTGGGAGGGGGGTGGTGATGGGAAAGGCTACAGGGCCACAAGAATTATTACGACAAAGGCCCAGACATCCCATCCTGCTGGCTTCACGGTGTCCCCCTGGCCTGTGACAAAGCAGGCAGGAGAGGGCCCAGGACTGTCCTCTGCTCAGACTCCTCTGCAGCCTTCCTTTGCAGGAGGTGGGGTGCGTATCTGAAGACGAAGTTTGCTGCAAGCCTTACCTTGGGTATCTTTCTCTTCTTCCTGCCATTTGGCAGGTCTCCAAGGTTAAAGAAAGTGTCGTCAGGGCTGCTGGGAGTGGAGGGGGGGCTGATTCTGGAAGGGGACCCCATTCCATCCCGACTCAGCTTCCTAGTGTCCAGCAGTTTGAAGTTCCTCCTGTCTGAATTTTGCCGGAAAAAAGCAGGTTTGGACAATAACTGCTGTGAGGGGAAAGAAGGATAAATAAATACTAAAGGGATGAACTGGGCAATTACTGGTGATGCCAGAGACCATGAGATTGAGAAGGGGAACTGGTCTGGTTCCCAGGTCCGCTGGACTTGTCTATTAACATTTATCATCCAATTATGGAAAATTGGTATAATAAATAACGCAGGACTAATTCTCTTTTTTAGGCAGGTGGGAACTAACTTGGTTTAATCACTACTTAATAGACGAGGCTTTCTGACAACCCAAGGCACACAGTATACACGGTATACAGGGTATACACAGTATACACACAGTACAAACACTTAAGCTTAGCTTTGACCTTGCCGCTGACAAGCTGATTGCCTCCTAGATAAGGAATTTCACGACTCTGGACCTCATTGTCTTATTTCTAAAAACGAGTTGCTTTAAGGTTAAAAGCCAACCAAAAAAATTAGGTAACTCACAGAGCTCATTTTTCTAATGCACACTACAAATAAATGAGAAGATTAACAATTCAAAAGAAAAATAGGCAAAAGAATGGGAAGTTTATAGAAAAGAAAATACAATGATTCTTAGCTATATGAAAAGGTTCTTAGTGTCACTCATAAGAGAAAAGAAAATTAAAATGCCATTGTGGAATTATTTTTCACTCAAAGATTAGCAAAGATAAAAACTTTGTTAACTCTCTTGGGGTGACTGGAAATTGTTACAACTCTATGGAGGGCAATGTAGCAGTATCAACAAAATCACAAATTGACATACCTTTCACCCAGCAATTCCAATACAAGTGTGAACTCAGTCCTATAGACTGCTTCAGCAAATTTGCTCTACTGATATGCTCATATTTGTACAAAGTTATATTGTACAAGGGAAGTTATACTGTGCAAAGTCTATTGTATAATGTGCTATGACGTGTAAACATAAAATACTGGAAACAACCTAAATGTCTATCAATGGAGGCTGGTCAAATAAATTATTGTAGATCTATACAGTGTAATACAATGCAGGTGTAAAAAATCGTAATGTACTGATATAGAAGGTTATCTCTGGTATAAATTGTTAAGCATAAAAAGCACAGTGCAAAGTGTAGACTAGTCAGTATAGTGTGCTGGGCTTTGTATGTGTGTTTTACAGAGCTATTCTGCTGGTATATGCACAGTTCTACAAAGAATCACAGCAACTCAGTGGTTTCTCTTGGGGAGAGAAAGAGGGTCCAGGAAGAGGAGGACTTTCATACTCCTTAAATTCTGAACCACATGCATGTATTAACTATTCACTAAAGTAAGAAATACTAATAAAATAACTACTTTGACTACATGTTCTCTAAAGGTACTTCCAAGACTCACATTTTATGAGACTGTAAATACAGTTGCAAAGTCTCTTTTTAAAAATAATAAATTAGATAAGACACCTAGCAAAGGGCCTAATAAACAGGCACTCAGTATAAGTTATTTCTTTTTCTTTCTCTTATGACACTGACTTTTTTCATACTTTAATATGCAAACTGCATTTTTATTTAGTATATAGTTTATATTCTTTTGGAATCCCAGTGTTTTTTTTTTTTTAAATATATTTTATTGATTTATTTTTACAGAGAGGAAGGAAGAGGGGTAGAGAGTTAGAAAGATCGATGAGAGAGAAACATCGATCAGCTGCCTCCTGCACACTCCCCACTGGGGATGTGCCCGCAACCAAGGTACATGCCCTTGACGGGAATCGAACCTGGGACCTTTCAGTCCGCAGGCCAACACTCTATCTACTGAGCCAAACCCGCCAGGGCCCCAGTGTTTTTCTTATTAATTTGAATGAGTTCTGTATACAGATCAGATATTAACTATTTGTCAATTTTGCTGCAAGTGCACTTTTATTTATATGTTGGATATGTGGAATCTCTTGCATAACATTTTTATATATGAAAATCTGTTTATCCTTTCCTTTGTGAGAGATTTAATCTTTACCTAGAACAAGCATGTCAAACTCAAAGGCTAACACAGGCCAAGTAAACAAGGTTTAAGTTTATGTGGGCCGCAAAAAAAACAAAAGCTTCAATTTTCATAGAAACAGGTTTATTTCGATAGAGACATGCTGAAATAATGAGTAATTATTAACATAAAATAATAGAACATTTTAATAAAAATTAATATTTTTTCTTGAACATTAACTTACCAGACACTGAATAACTGCACAAATAAGCATAACACAAATAAACCTATTTCTCTTGCCCTAGCTGGTTTGGCTCAGTGGACAGAACATCAACCTGCGGTTGAAGGGTCCCGGGATCAATTCTGGCCAAGGGCACATGCCCGGGTTGCTGGCTTGATCCCCAGTAGGGGGTGTACAGGAGGTAGCCAATCAATGATTCCCTCTCCTCATTGACGCTTCTATCTCTCCCTCTCCCTTCCTCTCTGAAATCAATAAAAATATATTTTAAAAAACACAAAACAAACAAACAAACCTATTTTTCTCGTTCTCCGAAAGCGAAATATTTCCTGTTACACACACCAAACAAGTCAGTACAAGACTAATGATGTGGCAATCGGCTGCTAAAATTCACTGCTAGTATTAGTGGAGAGAAATGGTGCGCATGTGCATGAGGCACGTAAGGGAAATGAATGCAACACGATTATAGTAATCAGTCATTAGCGAACGTTGTAGTCGTTATTAATAATTATATATAATAGAATATTGTAAAAATTAAGTTATGAAATTTTTATTAAAACATTTCTTACATACTGTTACATTGGCTGGGCCACATGCTGCCCGCGGGCCTTGAGTTTGACATGCTTGACCTAGAAAATCTATGATCTTTTTATACATTTAATAAATAATTCCATTTTTTTCTATATGTTCTTAATTTATTTTGAACATAATTTATTCAGTAATCTGTCAATAATGAATTTTATTGTATGTTAGTTTAAATTGATTCTTCCCCATCTCTTATCCCTATTTCATTAATGAATGAGCCTTTCTCTTAATATTTTATAAGCCCACATTTATCATATCTTGAACTACACAGAATAGGCTTATTTTATTTCATTCATTTCTCCACTCTTGTTTCGTTTCAAATAGTGTGTAACAATAACTTCAGGATCTTTTCTTTTTAAAGGCCGCCAGGAATAAAGGCTCTTAGCCTTCCTAAGTGGCCTGCTGCAATGTTTTATCATGGGCCTACAGGGAGCATCAATTGCTGATCACTGCAAGTTCTGAGTACAGCAAGAGGCCACCGGGTGTGCTCACTATGGGCATCTTAATAATGATGCAGCACAAGAACAAGAAATAATAATGAGCCTTTTTTTAAAAAAATCCTCACTTGAGGATATGTTTTCATTGGTTTTAGAGAGAAGAAGGAAGAGGGAGAGACAGAAACATCAATGTGAGAGAGAAACATTAATTGGTTGCCTGATGTATGCACCCTAAATGAGGATTGAACACGCAACCTGGGTATGTGCCCTGCCTGGGTATCGAACCTGTGACATTTCAGTGTACAGGATGATGCTCAAATCAACTGAGCTACATTGGCCAGTGCAATAGTGAGCCTTCTTAAAAGACCAAACTGCATCAGCAATGAGATCCAAGGAAATGGCCCCAATTCTTTCACTGCATTGGAATCTTGTATCAAATTGTTGGTAAAAAGCAGGTATCTGTTTTCATTAGAGATTTAGATTGTGTAGTGTTTGTTCAGAAAACATCTGACCTATGAAAAGGTCTGAGAGGAAAACAAAGAGAGAGACATCAAAACTCATCACACAATTTTCTAAAGGGTGTGAAAGACCTGGTGGAGGCTGTGTGTGGTCGCATTGCTGGAGGGAGGGGCCTTGGAGTGCCCCACACACTCCCCCAAAGCCCCAGATGTCCAGGGAGCTTTCATGAGGGAGTGGAATTTCAGTAGCTGCTTAGCTGATAAAAGAGGACTTGATGGGCTGTCCAAGCATTATCAAGTGTGCAGTACAATCTGAGAATAGACACAGAGGTGAGGAAGAGCAAACAGACCAGCACAATAGTGAAGACATTCAATTGTCTGTGGAAGGCCTTGGAAAGTGAGGGTATAAAGCTTGGACTTTGCAAGGGTCAGCAAGTTTTTTCTTTTCACCCCCCTGAATATAAGCTTATTTTTAAAAGAATATATATTAAAGGCATTATTCTATGCATTTAGCAAATATAAATAGTACTTATGTTACAGGCACAAGTCTAAATGGCTTACAATGATTAATTTGATTAATCTTCATAAATCCCCGAAGAGGAGTATGCTATTATTATTCCTATTTTACCAATGAAAAACTAACACATGAAGATGAGATCATTTGCCCAAAGTCTCACAGCTAACAAGAGGCCTAGGCAATTCTGAATGGAGGCAGTCAAGTCAGGCTCTAACACCTTTGATCAGATGCTGCCTTTGACCAGATGCTGCCTCTTGGTAGCTACGACTGAGTGTTGGTGTGTGGGGGCCTATGCAGGCAACCAGAGAATGCTAGTTAGTGATACATTTTCCCCTTAGGTATCAATACATAAAAAATAATTTCTCGCCAAAACCGGTTTGGCTCAGTGGATAGAGTGTCGGCCTGCGGACTGAAAGGTCCCAGGTTCGATTCCGGTCAAGGGCATGTACCTGGGTTGCGGGCACATCCCCCACTGGGGATGTGCAGGAGGCGGCTGATCGATGTTTCTCTCTCATCGATGTTTCTGACTCTCTATCTCTCTCCCTTCCTCTCTGTAAAAAATCAATAAAATATATTTAAAAAAAAATAATAATAATTTCTCATAGGAGCCTATGTTTCCCTCATTATAAACATCAGTTCTGCCTTGTTCACTGTGCTGTTGGAGGTGTGGGATGGTGGGTCTCACAGAGCAGGAAAAGAGCATGGCCCTTCTCAGGACCTAGCACTGTGTGTGCAGGCATTAGCGTTGCCTCTGGCTGCACGTCTGCTCCTTTCTAGGGCGTTTGTCCACATGACCCTTCCTTTTCTACTGGGACAGTCTAAATAGGTGAAAATCCTAGTGTAGCGTAATGACATTACATTAAAATGATGAAATAACATTCAGGACCTTTCAGTGACTGGTAGAGGAGGTCGTCACAGAGGGAGGGACTGCTTCAGCAAGTTCTAAGGGTCCACATGTCGCCCAGATGTCGCATGAATATTTGAGGAGCTAAATGGAGGGAGTGGAGAAGTCTGCAGCTGTCCCCAGAATGGGGGCACAAACCAGACGCCCAGTGTAGGACAGCAGAGAAGGGAGCGTGGACAGAGTCCTGCCGATGACTTGCAATGGCCCCAAACAGCCTACAGGGATCGGTGGCTATCGGATTCGTGCATTAGGAACTGGATTACTTTCTGCAGGAGAGCTGCCTCTGAACTTCCAAGTTCCCATTGACACGATGCCTACTTGCTGAGCTATTTTGGGGACAGAGGACCCAGGTGTTTTTAGTCCAGCAGGAAGGGGAAGAAAAGAGCTAAGCCTTTCTTTCTTGGCTTTAGGGAGTAGTCACAACAGAGATTGTATATTTACTTTCTAGCCCCTTAGAGAAAAAGTTTGCTAATCCTGGGCCAATTATATCAGGGGGTAGTCAGTAGGCTCTCCTGGGAGGGGAGCTTTTGTATGTAGGAGCATTGTGAAATTAGGTAGTAACGATATCCAGGGATCAATTATGAAGGAAATTTATTTATTATTATTTTCTATGAAGGAAATTTAATGCCATGGTAAGGAGTATGAATTCAGTCCTATAGGCAATATGTTGAAATAATCATGTATGTCAATATAGTTATATTATCTATATATACATAATTCCAAAGGTTCAAAAGGATATTTTGTAAAAAATGTCAGTCTTCTACCCTGACTACCAGGTACTCAGACACTCATACATCTCCACAGAGGTACCCATTTACTCATTCTTAAGTATCCTTACAGAGGTCTTCTACATGAAAAAACATATATGAGATGATATATATACGTGTACTAGAGGCCCAGTGCATGAAATTTGTGCACTTTGGGGAGGGGAGGGGTGGTCCCTCAGCCTGGCCTGTGCTCTATCACAGCCCGGGAGCCCTCAGACATCCTTAGCACTGCCATGAAGGCAGGAGAGGCTCCCGCCACCACCTCTGGACTCACCAGCCATGAGCCCAGCTTCTGGCTGAGTGGTGCTCCCCCTGCATTGAGTGTCTGCCCCACGGTGGTCAGTGCACATCATAGCAACCGGTTGTTCTGCCATTTGGTCAATTTGCATATTAGTCTTTTATTATATAGGATATATATTCTTTCATTTAAAACCCCCACAAATGGTGTCTTTCTATAGTTTAGAGTTTGTTTTATGACATTGTTCTTACCGGCTCTATCACTATCCACTATCTTATTTGCCTAGTTGGGGAGGTTTTTGAAACTAGAAGAAGCTAAAATGATACTTTAGGAAACTTTGTTGAACAGAAGGCTACAGAATTAGAGGCAGAAAGAGCAGGAAGGCAGTTAATGTACATCTCGGAGCCTGGAGCTGAGGGTGGCCTGGCATTCCAGTGGAACCCAGAGCTACAGGCTGCTCAAGACATGGTGCTGGGGACCCCTTTCCCCCCAACACTCCCTTGAGGGCTCATACCTTGGTGGATGTGTCAGAGATTGAAGAGGCAGAAGAACCAGGAAAATTCAGGACACATTTCTTTCCCAGGCAGCGACCATGTAAGTCAATGTCCTCATAAGGGTTTTCTTTCGTTGGCAGGTCTGTGGTCAAAGGCAATGGGTCAGGAACTGGGAACGTTGCGGAAGTTTTCCTTACCGGATCTACCTAGCATCCAGGCCTCTCCATGTGGAGATGTCTGATGTCTTGCTATCTATTTGTTCTTCTCTTGGTAACAGACCCTGATTTGTTCTTCTCTTGGTAACTCCCCATCTCCCGTTCTTAGATGTGTGAGATTAACTCCACTCCCATTTTAGGGCTTTAGCCAATCGGCGTCTCCAGAGTCCCTGTCTCAGTGACCTGTGCCAGGAAGGGCCCATACCCCAAGTCTAAGCCAATCCCTGCATGGCATTCATGGGCTCTGACGGTGAACAAGGGACCTACACTGGTCTAGCTGGGGCCAGCTTTGGGATTTTGCTGGGACTTTCAGGATACAGACTCCCCCTCCGGGGAGCCAATGGCAGCCATCACGGGAACTTGGGAAACCTGCTGAGAATGGAGCTAACCTGAGACATAAGAAATGAGGAAGAAGCCAGTTCTGGTCACATGAGCCAACCAACTCTCTTTGTTGTTCCCGTGGGTTTCTGTTCCTTGTAAGGAGAGCTTCCCTGTCAGGTATACTCACTGCTGAGGAAAATCCAGATCTCATTCCTGCTTTGGATCTGGGAAGCCTAATGGCAGGAACCCATCTCCAGCAGCTTGGACACAGCAATTCTGGAGTCCATTACATGCATGTATGTGTGTACATGCCTTCTCTGCCCCTTGTATGCGGTCACATGTGGGTTTCTTCCCCCACCCCCACTCCTATCCCCAAAATGCAGGTGCTGGTCTGAGCTCACACCTCACTGAAACTGTGATCTTCCCTGAAGAGAATTTAACTCACTGAATGTATTTATTTAAAATTTTAAAATTAAATTAACTGGGGTGACCTTGGTTAATAAGATTATATAGGTTTCAAGTGTATAATTCTATGACACATCATCTGTATATTGCATTGTGTGCCCACCACCCAAAGTCAAATCATCTTTTGTCACCATATATTTGACCCCCTTTTCCCTTTACTATATCCCCACCTGCCTTCCCTCTGGGAACCACCATACTGTTGTCTGTGTCTATGAATTTTTGTTTGTCATGTTAGTTCATTTGTTGCTTTCATTTTTAAACCCCACATGAGTGAAGTCATATAGTTCTTGACTTTTTCTGTCTGACTTATTTTGCTTAGCATTATATTCTCAAGATCCATCCATATTGTTGCAAATGACAGTACTTCATATTTTCTTATGGCTGGGCTAACTCACCAAACTTAAATACATACAAACTCTTGTGAATCTGAACCTGATTTTGGAATCTGAGAGAATTATTCAGAGAGAGGCTAAAGTTTCTTTATAATAGTATACATTCAATTTAGCCTGAATTTTTGATGCCCCATTACTGCCATACTCCTACGGTTTCGGAGAGAGTACGGTGGTCTTTAGTTTTCTTTCATTCAGTAATCCCTACATTACTGAGCATGTGTTATAAGCCAGGTATTTTGCATACCACTTTCTCCAGTTCTCAAACAACCCTGGAAGGTAGCTATCATCATCCTTAGGATACAGGTGAGAGAACTGAAGCTCAGAGATGTTAAGTCACCAGCTCAATGTCATACAGCTAATAAATAGCAGAGCCAAGATTGGATCATGGATACTGAAGCTCCAAGTCTCCAGTGCAAACCACGCTGCACCACACTGCCTCCTTGGCTGGTCAACAGAGCCCTTCTTCTCCCCCCAACCCCATGTTCTCTCACATATTCCATTGTGGCCACTCTCCCACCCACCGACCTGTTCTCTCATTCATTTGAGTACGAGAGAGAGAGAGAGAGAGAGAGATTGATTCAAGCACCCAGCCCCATTTCTCCCTTTCGCAGAGACACACTCATACCCATATACAGACATTTTGGCCTCTTACCTAGAATGTCTTCATAGACGTTCTCCTCTGATAAAGTGCATGTGAGCCCCAGCTTAGTCTGTGCATACCAGTCGACCCTGCTGTTCTCAGAGGAAGACTGCAGTAAATCTTCAAACTCATAGGACTTTCTAGGTTGTAGCAGATGGGAGGGGAAAAAAAGGAACCCCAAGATCTTGAATTAAATTAGGCTGGTTCAGAGAATATATACCGAAAAAAAATGTTTTTCTTGCACAAATTTCTATTACTGAAATCAACTCTGGTGTTTGTAAAACGGGTGTGAAAATCTTCAAATATGAGGTGGTTTTTTGTTAATCCTCACCTGAGGATATTTTTCCATTGATTTTTTTTTTTTTAAGAGAATTGAAGGGAGGGGGAGAGTCAGAGAGAGAAAAACATCTACGCGAGAGAAACACATTGATTGGTTGCCTCCCACACATGCCCCGGGCCCTGGTGGATGGAGCTCACAACTGAGGTATGTGCCCTTGACCAGAACCCAGGACCTTCAGTCTGAGGGCTGACGCATATCCACTGAGCCAAACCATCTAGGGCTGATGTGACTATGACTTGAAAGAATGTTTATACTATTATGCCAGGTAAAGATAGCAAAGTATATATCATAAATACAGTCCCAACTTTGTAAGCAAACACACAAAGAAAATAAAAAGAAGAAAGTAAAATACACAGCTGCTATCTCAGGACTGAGGGACGGCTCCTGGCTTCTCTTCACTGTTACTTTTCTCTGGACTTTTTAAATGGTCCACAATGTTTACAGAGCACACGTATTAATAATTAGAAAGGAGCAGTGATGGCCAGTTCAGAGTGGACCAGGGGCCCGGGCAACTCCCCGCCTCACCCTGGTGGGTAGTATCAGAATGAAACTCCCGAGGCCATGGACACTCCACCCTGCCCCTCAGAGATCTGTGGAAGCCTGACTGGGTCTCTGCGGCCTGGCTCACTCTATGGCTTTCTACTACCCCTACCCCCACCCTACATCCACATGGCGGTCCTTGTTCTGATGGTGTTCATCAGAATCTTATTCACACACACACACACACACACACACACACACACACACACAACCACTCACCTTGAGTTTCTATGATTTTTCTAACTTTATTGAACAATTGGGAGGTCATGAGGTGGGTCATATTGGGACACAGACAAAACATCAGCCACCTCATAGGTTCACTCCACCTCCCTCCTCTTCTTCTCTCCCTCCCTATCCTTATCCACAGTAAGCCACATCTTACCCTGCCTCTGGTTGGAGCAGAACACCCTGCCCACTCAGGCTCTGGAGGCTCCCCTTCTACTTCCAAGCAGATTTGTCAGGAATTTCTGCTGAACACACTCGGGCCTTCCTAGAATGGGACGTAGGTCCCTCCAGCTGACCTTTGTCCTGGCCCTTCACTCCTCCCTGGATGGGGTCCAGAGGGTCACAACACTCCTGGCTCTGAAAGCACAGCTCATCTCTCTTATTTTGTTCACATGGGTCTAGCACAGTCTTCTAAACACGCTGCATGGTAAGCTGTAGCTGACTACTTAGATATAGTGCTTTTGTTTCTTCACCCACACCTCCCATCTCTCTCCGGCCCTTTGGGGAAGGTGCCCCACTGGATGCAGAGCTGGGATCTTTCATTCATAAGCCTTTTAACCTTGGACAAACCACTTAAGGCTGAAACTCAGTGTCCTGATTTGTAAAATAGTCACTACCTCATAGGATTGTCCAAAGCATAGGAAGGAGAATGGTTGCAAAGTCCTTAGCACCTAATGAGCACTCAACAAATGGTAGCTATTACTATTGCTGTTGTGGTGATATTCACTATTTATGCAGTGAACGTTTTATATTGAACGTTTATAGTGTGGAAGGCAATGCACTTAGGGTTTGATAAACAAGGAGGGACTGCCCTAGCTGGTTTGGCTCAGTGGATAGAGCATCAACCTGTGGACTCAAGGGTCCCGGGTTCGATTCTGGTGAAGGGCACATGCCTGGGTTGCAGGCACAATCCCCAGTAGGGGGGTTCACAGGAGGCAGCCAATTAATGATTCTCTTTCATCACTGATGTTTCTGTCTCTCTCCCTCTCCCTTCTTCTCTGAAATCAATACAAATATATTAAAAAATATATACGGAGGGACAAAGTCCCTGCCTCAAAGAGCTTACATTCTAGGGAGGAAGACAGACATTCAGCCAGCTCATGCACACACAAAATATAAAATGTGCTAAGTTCAATGATGGAAAAGAACAGGTTGCTACAAATGAGACTATCAATTTAGGCTGGGGATGCGTCGGGGAAGGCCTCGATGAGAAAGTCACTCCTTAAAGCTGAAACATAGAGGATAAGAAGAGCTTAGTTGGGGAAAAGGGATCCAAGAAGAGGGAAGGGCATGTGTGAAGGTCCAGCGGCTACAGAGAATGTGTGCATTTGTGGAAAGACAGCCATTCAGCAAGGCAGGCCTGCAGGGAACAAGAGTGGAGAGTGTCGGGCAATGAGATGGCAGAACCAGGCAGAGGCCATTTGCCTGCTTCCCAAACTTTGAGGATTTCTTGCATTTTCAATCTTTCCTCTTTACTCCTTTCTTCCTCTCTTTTTAAAAACATGCTCAAGTTTCCTCTATCTTGAAAAATCTTTCACTTGAGGCAATGACCCTGGTAGTTCTGCTATTTCTCACCTTCCTTGCCAACATTTCTAACTGGGGAGAGGGAAGGAGGAGGAGCAGACTTCTGTCTACGTGTTAGCTTACCATAGTTCACCGGTTTTTCTTTCCTTTACCGTCTCAACCTGGCATCTCTATGTATCCCTTTTCTGAAACTGTCCCCTAAAAGTCACTAGTGATTTTCTGGTAAAATCTAACAAGTTTCTTGGTCCTTTAAAAAGAAAACTTTTCATTGATTTTTAGAGAGAGAGGAAGGGAGAGACAGAGAGAGAGAGAGAGAGAGAGAGAGAGAGAGAGAGACCGATGTGAGAGTGAAACATCCATTGATTGGCTGCCTCTTGCACCCTCCCCACCAGGGATGGAGCCTGCAACCCAGCTATGTGCCCTGACAGGGAACTGAACAGGCAAACTTTCAGTGCACAGGATGACGCCCAACCAACTGAGCCACATGGGCCAGGGCTCTTGGTCTTTTTTTTTACATGACACCACTTTTCTTTACAAGACATCTCTCAGATTCTACAGTGTAAGCAGCAGTAGTTAATGTGCCATCCACGGCCAGGGGCTGGTGTGTCAACTGTTGTGACCGGTCCTTGATGAGATAGGTAGAGAAATTGAAAGTAAGCATTTAGAAACTTTTTAAGCAATTTGACAGAATGCATTTTTTAAAAAGTGAATCTTGTACATAGTATTATCTTTTTTTTTTCCATTTCATTTCTCTGGTATTTTATTATATTTTACAACAGTATTGTTTGGCAAAGGATTGCAAACACAAGCACAGGGTCAGGGTGGTTTGAGAAGGCTGATGCAATGCTGCCCCAGGCTACTTCCCCTCTCACACAACCCTTCCTGGGCCTCTCTTCCTCTTTCTGGGCAATGGGTGCTTCCCAAGGCTTTTCCTCTTTAGGCTCTAAACTTTCATATCCCCGCATCTAAATTCATCACCCCTTATCTGCACCTCATCCCCACTCCTTCATGAACTTGAACTTGTCACTTAGGGCAGGATAACCAAGAAGGGCCAAGCCATAAACGTCCATGCTGGGTGTCTATGGTCTTAAATGAGGCCAGGAAGCTAAAATTGCTATCCACGCACTGGGGTCCTGACTTGTTAACAGAAGTTCATGAGCCCCATCTCCCTCCCCTTGAGATGTCTAGCCTGGAGAGGAGGACTGAGCTCCAGGGCTCTAGTAGATGGGGTCTGGTGGTGGTGGTGGTGGTGAAGGGGGAAGCAGGGCTGTACTGTTTTCTCTTGGATGGGAATGGGCAGTGCTGTGCACCCACCCTGAACAATCCCTAGACTGGGATGCCAGAAGCCCAGACTGGCATTCACAGGGATCTGATTAGAGATGGAGTGGTGGTGGTCTGTGGCCAGAGTAGGGTGAACTCATCAGATTATATTAGCCAGAGTCCTCAGTATGCCCACTACCTAAATCTGCTAGAAAAGAGGCAAACTGTTCAATGAGACCACAGACTCATCCATTCAACAACACCTATCAAGTACCAACTAAGCACTTTACTTGGATTAGCACATTCAGACTTCGCCACAACCGTGTAAAGAATTACTATTATTGTACACATTTCATATATGAGAACACCAGGGCATAGAGGGGTAAGATAAATTTCTCAGTGTCACACAGGGAGAAAGTGGTGCACCGGGGAGTCTGGTAGGAGGCTCATGCTCTGAACAACATGGGTACTGAGCAGAGCGTGTAAATACAAGGCAATGCATGAGAAAAGCTGCAGTTGCAGTCCACAGATGAAAACAGGTTCAGTTTCCAGAGTATGAAGTTATGAACTTGAACTAATTTCCCATACGAAATCGCATAACACATTATTATGAATTACCCAGCAAGCTCTCTATTTCCCTCATAATGTAACTAAATTATACTATGAAAAGAAGCTAGAACTCTCATAGAAACAAGAGGGGACAGTCAGGGATCGCTTCCCTGGGAGCTGGGCAGCTTCTACCCTAATGTCAGGAAGCCCCACTCCTGACAGCTGAGGGACAGAGTGACAGCCCTTAAGGGAAAGCCCTGACTGTCTGGAAGTTGAGCATAACCCTGAATAAGCTTGGTCTTTGATCTGATTTCAGAAGGGACTGCAGCTGTGCTGTTGAGAGAGCTCTATAACTGTTTTTACTTTTTTAAAACCTCATTTGAGTTACCTATGAAGCAATGGTTGTATAGATCAAATTTTAAAATGAAAAATTATAAAGTACCTATGAAATAATATCTGAATAATTAAAATGTTTTATTAACAATACATGCCCTAACAAAACAGATGTTTGCATGCTCTAGGCTCTCCAAGTCCCAGCAGATGGCTCGCTTACTTAGAGTATACGTAACACAACCTGGATTATCTGTTGGGGTTTGTTGGGATGGGATCAGCCTGTATCCAAATGACTGCTGTCAGACACCCTGGGATTTCAAGCCATAGTATGAATTTTTTAATGATGCTTCCATAGTTCCAAGAACAGTA